GAGATGTCAGAAACAAACCGCTGATGATTCAGCTTTGTGCACTTGTCACACCGGCTCTCAAATGACCTCCGCAGAAGCGCTGAAGGCGAGATCCAAGGGTCTGCAGTGGCGATGCCTGGCAGAGGAGCCATGGAACTGGGCTGAGCTGAGCCATTTTGGCGTCTGTCTTGCCATTGGGACATACAAGTTTTTCTCAGCACTACTCGGCTGCGACTGTCAGTCCCTGATTTGCAAAGCGTTGCCCGTTGGCTCTGCACGAGCACGGATACAGGAAACTGGCATTGATTTGCCTTCTCTGTTCCGCAACAAATCCATGAGTTGGCCCTTGCAATCATACCAGCTTGCTTCGCTTTGTGCTAGAGTCAAGATGCTGTGCTGACCTAACCTGCCGCGCAGGCTCACAAGCTAGAATATTGCTGGTAATGCTGCAGTTGACATTGCTTCCAGCAATCTTTATCGAGCTTCATTGCCACGGACATGTGAGCTGGTCATTCTGGTCTGGCTCGCCTTGGATGACGACGATGCCCCACCCGCCAGCAACCGACCACGGTACACCTGCAGCCACAAACTCGTGGCTCCTCTGAGAGGAAGAATTCTAAGATGCGGGGCTCCGTCTCGCAGCTTGGAGGTGCTATCGAAACATTTTGTCAATTGATGACCTCACTCAGCCAGGTATGAGCCTGCCTGCGCGATGCATCCAGATCCTGAGGCAAGAGCCGGCCGGAGAATGGCCACAGCTCTGGGTCTTCTGGGTTTCAAGTTTAAGACTAAGACTTTTTCGGGGCTTCGAGCTTTAGTCTTTTGTGGACCTGGCTCTGTGCAACGGCGCTGTACCAGGCGGTCCTATCGGCTCTGGCTCAATGAGGATGTCTCGGAACCACCTGCAGCGCATGCACGAAGGGCAAGCTTGGCGAAGTGTCAAGGGAGTCCGTATTCGGAGAACTTGAAAGAAAGATGAAGGGAGGTCGTAAGAGAGACGAGCACGCTAAAGACATCAGCTCAACGTGGATCTTGGCTTCCCGACGTTTCCGAGAAGGACTCGCTCAACACCTGGGCTGAGCATCGCCACACATCTGTGCCGGAAAGCACGAAGCCTTCAATCAACTTCAATCTACAACAAACAGGTGTTCAATCACCACGAATCAGCGCGGCCTTGTGCGTGTGCTCCAGGCCGTGAGGCTCTGTGCTATCGTGCAGATGGGCCAGGCGTGAGCAAATGTCCTGGTCAATACTTAAATATCTCGAACGATATTTCAGGGGCAGCATCGTCAGAAGCTCTGGCGAGCGCCGTCCTCCTGAATAAGGTCAGGTCGTGTCGCTGCCCACTGCCCCAACCTATGGCCAGACGGCGCCGACTCGCAGTGCAGTACCATGCAGTACCCAGAAACCGCCACAAGAGAAAAAGATACAAAACAGCAACAGGGGCCCCCGGCTTGACGAACACCGGTCCACTGCGCTGCACCTTCACACTGCTGGTCAAGATGGGCGGTTGCTGGCAAAGTCGAGGAAAAAAAGAAGATTAGAGGGAAGTGGAGAAAGTGGAAGTGCGAAGTGCAAGTACGTGATTCCGTGATGCTGGGCGACCACGTGGCTTTTTGTGACCATGGCGGTGAAGATTGGGAACAGGGAAATACAGGGTGGCCTGGTAGCCTGGCAACTTGGCATCAGCACTTGGGATCCAGACCTTCCGCAAAGCAACAGCCCACCACCAATCCACCTCGTAGGCTATCAGGGGAGAATCGGGAGCTGGTCATTTTCAACAATCTCATCTTCGAACTATACACGCCCACCGGAGACTGAGGTGAACGCCCAGCTGGAAACCACTTGCCTGCATCGTGCACGCTTGACTGCTGCCCAGCCCTAGGACTCGGGAATGGACGCTGCTCTAATTCGCCCTTTTCTGAACCTGCAATTGTGGGCATTCTTGCCAGCACGCCTCGAAGATGGACCCTCGAGGTTGCACGGCGAGCAGCGATCCTGCCCCAAGAAGAAGCTTAGAGGAGATACGAGCTCTCGTGCCCCTCCTGATTGGGAAACCATGATTCAGAAACTGTGACTGACTCGAAAATTCAGAATGCTGACGCCTACCTGATTCGGAAACTACTGGAACAGTATGAACTACCACGACGAAGCCGCCAATGGGAGGAAGCAGATGGCTCTTTCGAGAACTCGATTCGCGGGTGGTCGGGATGTAGGGCAAGAAGGGGACAGGCATAATTTCTGAGTCGCAATGGTTGTGCAAAGAACTGACTTCTGCCACGGGGATGTATGGCTCTAAAGCTGGGACGTGCATTTTCCGAAGCGGGGCTTCATAACCTCTGAACCTTGGTTTCCGAATCGATGCTTCTTGGGATCTTCTTGGGTCTTTGTGCATGCATCTGGGAACCTGTTTAGGCGTTGCCTGGAAGGCTGTTTTTCCTCACTTCTCTCTATGCGGACGGGGAGCTGCCACCAGAGCGAACGCCAGCAACGGGATGAGGGGGACGTAGAACCACCTGAACGAGTTCATTGAGTGCGCTCAGCATGGCAGGCGCAAAGCTTTCTTCCAGATCTCGAATGCCTCCACACAGGGCCTATGATGCCTATGACAGGCCCCTCTGTAACCACAAGCTGTCTTGGTTGCTCCAGTGTTGCTCCCTTCAAATCTGCACTCTCAGAGACTCAGAGAGCTCTCCGAGAGCCGAGTTCCGCGCAGCAACTCCAGGCCTCGCAGCAGCACCTCTCAGCCACTTGAACGCCTACGTAATTCCTAATTACAAAGGCTTTTGATGGGTTTCGAGTCCGTTTAGATGCTCTTCTTTGGCCAAGACCTTTCAATTTCCCATGTGCCTGCAACTGCCTGGGCCTCTGATCCGGGCATGCTTCTGTTTGTCACGCATTCAGCCGGCTCCGCGAATCAGACTTCAGCAGATCAAAAGGAGGTTGCGTGGACCTTGCCGACAGGCGGCTGATTTCTGTAGACGAGAGTACAACCTCCATCCAGCCCAGCATGTCTTCTGCGAATGGCTTCAGGCTCCCTCGGCTGTAGTGGCCAAGAACTATGTGAGCATCCCGACGTCTGGACTTATTTCCTCGGAAAGGCGGCGCAACCCCGTCACTCCATCCGCAAACCCATCCACCAATCTCTAAAGCAACAAAACCGAACTAAGCCTAAGTTCTGGCAGAGTTACACTGCTGCAGACCCTGGATTTCCGGTTCACAACCACCGGAAAGTCTCCTTCTTCCGGCGGGCCTTGTAGCTATTGAAGGCACTGCTTTCGAGGACAAGAAAGCTACAAGGTGCTCAGAGTTCTAGTGTGCATGGCCTAGGCCTGAGAACACCCTTCACCCTTCAACTCGCAAGAGGGGCTCAAGCCAAAACAGTCCAGGGCCCCTCTTCAAAACTAGTAACCACCGCCATAAGGGTCGAAGCCAAGTCGTGCCTCTACCGCAAAATCCACCTTGCTGTTGATCCTCACGGGTGGCTTCAATCCCTCCAACGCACGCAGCTCAAATCCCACGGTGTGTCAAGAAGCTGTCTCGGCCTTTCTACAAACGCACATAACCCGATGCGGCTTGCCTCTTCAGCAGAACACTTGCCACGATTGCCTCGGAAGTTGCGCCCCTCCCAAGTCATACAGTACCACGGACCAGTCTAAACATGCCACAGCAACTAGGGGACTGACGAAAATGAGAACCAGCAGCCAGAAGGAAAGGGACCCAGGGCCACCAGGGTGATCATCACGTCCCTGAGGCATCTGAGGCCCGCATGCGCTGCGAGCAAGCACTTATCGGGGCACATCATCCTACAGATTGACAGTTGGGGCCGCTGCCAGCCACATCCCCAGCCATCCGTCCACCATGAGCAAGAGAAAGGAAGGGGAAGTCTGCAGTTCCTCTTGTTTTTCCTGTGGTGGGGTCATGACGATGAGCCCGATCTTCAAATCAACTTGAACTTGTGAGCTGGGGTCTTAAGAAAGATGCATCACGGCCTCGCTTTCGCAGACATATCTTGAAGATGGATTGAAAATTCAAAGCTGCAGACAGTGACGGAGTTAAGGCAGCCATCGAGAATCAAGCATCAGTTGATATCTCTCCTCATCCTTCAGTCTGAAGGCAACACGCCAAGGGCGCCCTGCTGGATGCCTTCCCTTTTTCGCATCGGCCCGAATCGGCCCGAATTCGACCCCGTGGAGAGCCTCGAAGGTGCAGCTCTTCTTTGCCACGGGCCAGCGAACCTATGCGAACCTCGTCACTTCCTCGTCACTTTCGAGTCTTCATGAGGCTCGGAGCGCCCTTTGGGAACCCGTCACTCGGGCAGCCAAGTGGCGAAAAGTGGCTACATTCGGCTAATTAGCTCAGTACGTTGGCGAAGATGACAGCGCGAGGGGCTGACCGAGAAACACACAAGAGATGCCGTTTGCACTTTGCAAGCACTTGGCTGCGCATGTGTTGAACCAACTTCCTTTGCAACGCTTGAAACCTTCGGCCCTGCACAACGTGGAAAGGCCTGAGTCGGAGCCAAGGATGCCAGAGGATAAGGCGAGGCCTCGAACATGTGACTCATGCGGATGCAGGGAGAACATGTAACAAGCTGGTCCTCACACAAGAAGATACACAAGCAGATACACAAGCACTTAGCGCAAGCACAGCGAAGATCTCGGCAGCGCACTCCAAGCGGCGCCAAGCTCGGCAAGTCCTCTGCGGCGAAAGCTCTCATGGCACCTCCCAAGCCTCACCTCCAAGTCCACATAAAGTCCTAAATTCGGCCTCGAATAGCTCAACCCGACGTCCTCCCACTTGGCCAGCGGCAGCTCGGGCAGCCCATCCACGTTGCGCTTGGCTGCCTTGCATGAAGTCAGCTGACACACATGTCGATATCAACAGCTGCACAAGAACTTGCTTGGCATGACACCCGCAAAGACTTAAAGATCGGACTGGCACAGATCAAGGGCCCAAGTTTAGGGCTGTTCCTTTGGCATGGATATGAAGGGGACCTGTGGGCTCAGACCTCCCGCACAGGTTGGTAACCCAGGTGATTTCGCAGCCCTGAGTAGACCCAAGTCGACAACGCTTTGGTTCGTATGATGTGTTTTTGAGACGACACCCCAAACGCAACTCCTCCCTTTGTTGGCATGCGGCCATCGTGTGGCGAAGCGCCAGCTGTTTGTGCAGCTTTTGTTGCTGGGCCATTTGGTCCTGGCGATGAATGCCCAGGATCATGCCCAAAATAAACACCGAAGCTGAAGTGAGGTCATGTCAAGTCATATCTCGTCCTCCAAGCTTCGAACTCTCAAGCCCGTGCGCTGGTTGACCTGCGAAGGAATGTCCATGGTCACTTAGCAAGCTGATCAAGCAAGCTGTCAAGGCACGAAGTGGTGCTTCTGAGCTGAATCGCCGGCAAGAACGGCCAGACTGCTGTCATCTCAATGTCAGATGGTCATCTTGCCATGAATGCAGTGGTTTGCTCGTTTCTCGCGCAAGCCGTGGTTCTTCCCGAAACTAGACCGAGTCTCCAATGCAGTGAAAGGACTTTAAACAGCCATTGATCGCTACAACATTCCGATCGTCACGGTTGAGGTAGATGGCGGAAGAGTTGAAACACGACGATGTCTTTCTGTTTTTGGTACCAGTACTTTGCCTCTTGGAGACTCCTACAGCCGCGGCAGCAGGTTTATTCTTGAAACATCTCGGAGCTCAAGATGTAGGCCCTGTAGGCTTCTGTCGCGTCTCGGACTGAGCTGCAAGGAAGTTGCAATCAGTCGGCCTGAAGCGGGCGAACCAGGAGGCGAAGTAGGCACATCAGCAGAGACCCACAACAACATCAGCATGTCGCACACCGCCCCCCACCCCAACACCTGGTCTTTGAGCTGAGACGTCAGTAGTGTTGGGTCATCACTGATGAGCACGTGCGTCCGCGCCTGGGGGCCAACACATCTTCCAGCTTCTGAGAAGGCGGCAAAAGGTTGGCCATGGGTTGGCCTCCAGCAGCTCCAAGTCATCAGGCTCCGTTCCCAGCCCCTTCTCCCAGGACGTGTGCTTCCAGGACACCTCAACCGTGACCGGCGACGATTTCAAAAAAGCAGAGGAAGACACCGCAGCCCCCAAGCACTCTTCGCCTGCTCTTCGCTCAGCGGCTGAAGGGTCAGCTCACCACTGGCTGAGCGCATCAGCTCCCCGATGAGCGTGACCTTCAGTTTTTCACGATGGATGGAGGATCTATTCCGTACCTCGCACCTCACTGAAGCATAGTAGGCCCCAGCTGTTGCCCCAGTCATCAGGCAGCACTCGTGAAACTCCACAGCTGTACCTGACCGAGAGACGCGCCGTGCGACCGTGCGTGCGGTGGACAATGACTTTTGCCAATTCCGCGGGTAAACTCCAAATACTCGGGGTTGCCGCCCCTCGGCAAGTCCCAGCTTGAAATGGTCGCAGATCGTCCCCGGTTTAGAAAAATAGAATTGGGTTTCTGGAATCATCCCAGGGAAGAGGTGGCTCCTGGCAAGTCCCATGCAGTTGTAGTTCTTAAGACTTCTGGGCCCTGTAGGTGGCTACCTTGATGTCTTGAAGGCAGGCTAAGACTCCCCAGAACACGGGTCTAAAACCTTCGCCGTCGAGCGCTCTCCATCAAATTTGGACTAGTCGCTATGGTCACCGCACGAGAAGCATAATTTGTTCAGTCATTGAGACCACGGCCTTTGGCGCGCAGGCCATTCTCCATCGCATGGTTATCCGAGGAACCAGTGCCTGGCTTCGGCTCTTGTATGGCGGGCACATGCAAGCCTGTAACCCCCTGGTATTGAGGTCCCAAAGAACCACCAAACACCGGCTGTAGCCTGCCGAGGAGAGGTGAGCAGAGACGAAGTCTTGCCTCAGCTGAGGAAGGCATCCTACGATGGAAGAGAGGGGTCTCAACTCACATCTGACTTGAAGACTCAGAGATGCGAGCCAGTGGTCTGGGGCGCATGGAACATGGAAGAATCAATATGTGAGAGGCTCCCATCAAGAAGAAGTGCATATGACCACTGCGTGACCTCTGGCTTTCCGGCGCCTCATGTTGCGTCTGTGGATAAGGCCGGGGCCAATGGTCTGGAGCGCATGGAAACGGCAAGACCTTGGCCACAGCAAGAGCTTCCCACCAAACCAAGGAACTCCGAACATCTTAACAATCGCAGATGAAAAGAATGAAAAGGGTGTGGAAGGCTTCGCACTTCAGCAAACTCGCACTCCCTGGTCGCAAAGAGATTTACCTCAGCTCACCACGACATCCTCAAAGCTAGACCGAAGCAAGGCGAGCAAACCCAACGTTCCCCCCTTGGGCCCCTTGGGTGGCCTCGGCACCGGCGACACGGATGTCCACTCGTGGCGTACCACGCAGGGTCACGATGAAGTCGGAGTGTTGCGAGGCAAAGGCCACCGGCAGGGGCATGCCTCGCAAAGGTCAGAGGCAGCATGCCGACCCATACTCAAGGTGCTCTGATGCCTCCATGGACCTTTCTGGAGGCGTTGGCCTCAAGGGCAAGGATACATTGGACACCAGCCACACAAATGACTAGCTCTCACTAAGCTGCTCACGGTGTAAAGAACACACGGACGCCGTGTCAGGGGCGCAAACAAGGGCTCCGAGTCGCCCTCGGCACCGCCACAAGAATGTCTTGGGTGGGGCCACACTGTATGCCGAGCTAAAGCATCTGAGCAGATGGCCGGGCATTGGATGACGGCTTCCAGACGCAGAAGCCTCAGCACAAGACCACGCCTCGAACACCCCATCAACTTTGAAACATCCACATGTATCCACACTAACGCACCACTTGGGTGCCCTTGCTGTCGGCTGCTCAACGGCTTGGAGAAGGTCACGTCGTAGCCCCCGGTGGAAGGGAGGAGCCTCTCGACCTCGGAGAGCATCCGCTTCTCGAAGCTCAGAACATCTTCAGCCCACATTGGACTCACAATAATTCTGTTCACATGAGGTTCACATGATGTTCACATGATGTTCACATGATGTTCACATGATGTTCACATGACCCAGCATCATCCAAGGTACCTGGGCGGCAGCGCTCACAGGAAGAGCCTGTGCAAGCGAAAGTCCAAACATCGGGGGCAAGCGCGCAGATCCTTGCAATCTCCCCGGCATGCATCGGCCCCCACCGGCGCCTCGATCCGTGACCTGAGGGCACCCAAGGAGCCCGTGTCCGCATCCAGCTCCTGCGAACATTGCGGTGAGCGAAGGGGTCAAGACAGATCAAGGATCACCACCTCACCTCGGAAACCTCTGAAGCACCGATTCTGAGCCCAGCAGCTTTCGCTGACAGCGTCGCCTTTACAAATCGGTCCCTATCCTGTTTTGGTTGAGATGAGTTTTGTCGGAATGCAACCAAGGCTTACTTGCTAAGGCATGCAGTCGCCCTGTCTGGCAGGTGCACATGTGAGCTCACGAAACGCACAATTCAACAAGCCGCGCCGTCGCACTCAAGCTACCCGTCCTTCTCTTCCTTGCTCAGCCTGAAACCGAGGAACCAACCGGCTTCAACCACTCCGCAGGGTACTGAAGATCCCTGGGCTGCGAACTTTCGGCCGGCGGTGCACGTTCCCAAGCTGTTCTCCAGGAGGTTGGCCTCAGGATGGATTGATGCAGAAAGACTGGTCACAGTTGTCACACATCCCCATGTGAGAGAAGAGGCCAGGGGCCCTGCAATTGCCTTGGCCGCAGCCTCCGAGGACTTGCCATTCTGCCCCTGCTCTTTTTTGTCAGCAGGCTCCTGGGCTGTGAATCAGGGTTCTTGGGGGGCCACGTGGGTCCACAAGGGGTCCTGCAGCTCGCTGCCGGTGGGCTCAGTGGAGAGGCCTTTGACGGCAGCCTGCCAAATCAATCTTTTAAGTCAATATGTTGCAAGAAAGAACAGAGAGAGCCGTCTCTCGACATGTCTTGAACAGAGCTCCTTGGTGAGCGCGAGCAACATAAAGAGCACCGCAATACCCACGAAGACGAGCCTGTGCAATACTTGCACGAAATTGTCAGGGCATGGTTCGCGTTGCAACCCCGAGGACTGCTGGGGAATAAGCTCGTTGTCAAACTCTGGAGGATGGAGCTGGGCCACGGTAACTTTGCCAGAGGCCCGGGCACCAGCATGACTCTGCGCAGGTGGCGCTGCCCACTGACCTGTCGAATCAGGGTCTCTGGGCACTCCCACACTGTCCTACATCGTCTTGGTCTACCACAATGCTGCTGTGCAGAAAGCATGCACCTTTCCGTTCTTGAAGTCTCCATAAAAGCCGAGCCTGGCACAGGACCAGATGGAAAAAGGCTCGCTCCCAGCCACTGCTGCGTTCCAGAGCATTGTCCCAGCTGGCGCACCACTGCTTGGCAACCACTTCCGCTGGTAGTTCTGGCGACTGCGCGTCGTGTGCCTGGCAACGTTTGGCACTTTGAGCTTGGTGACATCCCAAGGGGCGTTTGGTAGACACAGCTCCAGGAGGCTAACGGTTTGGATCATGCATGTTCATGAGAGTTCATGTGACGTGGACTTCCGCCTCGGACTTGCTAGGTCGGACTCTCGAGTCTTGACAGCTTAGGTATGGTAGGGTGGCTGAGTGCCTGACACTGGCCTACCATTAAACCATAGACAACCGGAAATGGCTCCGAGGTTTCAGGCCTCTCTTCTCATAATCGATGTGGGTGATGATGATAGCACATCGGCGACTGCTGCGGCATCTTGGCGCCCCTGTTTGAGCCCAGCAGCACCAAAGTTCAGGCAGCGCACTCGTTTCGGAGAGAAGGCCTCGATCTCATCACTGGCTCTCGGCAAGGTGAAGTCATCGGCCTCTGACAGGCAATGTGGCGAAACATTGCAACTCCGCTCTCACCGCGGGATCATTTGTGGCGACCATCACCATCGAACGTGTCGTAAACCGGATCTTTGACTCTGCTGACCAGAGCATCGGAAACACCACAAGTGCACCGCCGCTTGTGCAAAGCCCTTGAAATCCGGTAACATGTCTTGAGGCCAAGGGATATGCATGTCATCACATCATGAACATCAATCATCAACAGCCATCATCAGGCATCCTCAGCCCGTGAAAACTGCCAAATGCATTCAGGTATGCCATTCACGCTGATACTTTCAAAAGCGTGCAGTAGGATGCGGGCTTGATCTTCCATGCTACCCTCCTCTTCCTGACAACGGCGTAGCAGGTCAGCAGCGAAAAGGAGAAATTCACAGCAATGCCCTGAATGGCCTCGCCATATTCCGACCTCTCCTGAAGATCGAACATGCGGATCCATCAAAGACAACTAGCTGGCAATGCCGTTTGCCTCCGCCTCTGTCTCGATTTCCTCACACAGGCGGGCATGACAAGCTTCAGGTTCAATAAGGTTTAACGACAGTCTGTGCGAGCGCAAACAGGGGCTCATTGCGAACGGGAGTACACTGAGCAAACCCGTAAACATCCGTAAACCAACATCTGCTTCTGCAAAGACTCGTCGGGTGCATCAGAGATCTTCGTGACTTCGACCTCCACACCGGAGCCTTCCTTCACCTTGGACTCAGCTACACTCAGCCGCACAATCAAGAAAGGCCACCAGGCTTTATGATGTCCGAGGCTCGTGAACAGCTCTGTCTCTGGCCGGGTGGAAGGGCCCCTGAGTGCAGGTGTTCATTGTGAGTCCGCTCACCGTGCCTGGAGTGTGTTCGTTCGCCTATATTCGCCTGGAAAATCTGCAGGCACGGCTCGCAGGAAGAATCAACTCCAGAATAAAGACAGAAGGCTGGGCATTATGAACCATCTGCAACGTTTGCGGCGTGTTCGTTGGGATCCGTTCATGATGCAGATGATGCTCGTGATGCTCCATGTTGATGGCCGCCCATGATGCTCGCCCCCGTCAATCGACGTCCTGATCGCCGACTCGTGATGCTCGCCCAGTGCTCGCCGTTTCGCAGGTTTTGCAAAGCGTGGACCTGAGACCGCCTACGGGCCCCGGGGCCGGTAGGCAACACCAATGGAGTTGCCTGAGGCCAGTGGCCTTCATCTCATATGGCCCAAGACAATACCTCCCCTTGGTTCTGTGGGTGTGCGGTGCAATTCAACACTCAACCGAGTCAGTATGGCCCGGCCAGCCACATGAAAGTGAGATGAGGGAGCCCTGCCCCGCCTGCTCCGACTCTTCCTGGAAAAAGGTCACAGGAAAGTTGTGGATGTCACGGGGCGGCTCGACCTGCACAGGGTATGCAGCGTTCACAACGATGCATGAGGAGAGAGATACCCACATGGGCTAAGGCTGCGCCCTGGCCTCCACTTGGCTGGTGACAGGAACGTGCCTCCAGCACCATGCAGATGTGCTACGGGTCACCGAAATTCTGGGGAAGGCTTGTTGCTAAGCCGTCCATACTGAAAGGCCGAGTGTTCCCCTTGTACCATCACTATGCAAGCTGCGCCGAGTCATTCGCAGAGCAGGAAGGCTTGCCAGCAAACCAAGCTCGAAAATATTTAAGACTGCTAAGGGCCTGAGATCCGTGCCTGTGCCTGTGGCTGTGATGGTGGTGATTGAGGTTTCCGTGCGAAGTGACCTGCCGGTCATCAAGTTTCCAAGACCATCAATCTCCAAGCCGAACACGTTGCCTCCGCTGCCGCCTTTGGTGCATGAACGGCATGAGTTGCCTGATCGGCTCTGCCACTTCCAACCGGACTCCATCATGTAACATGCTGCCAATGCCCAGATTTATCGAAGCCTTCTTCGCCTTCTTTGCCACGTGTCCGCTGTGGTGAGCCGCTTGTTTCTTTTCCCTCCTGACACTTCACCAAATAGAAGACATCTGGATCTTCCAATCTGTCCACCAAGAAGCAAGGCAAAGTGTCGGCCAAGGAGCTTGGACGCAGCTTCATGCCGAGCCTACGAGCCGGGAAAATGCAAGGAGTGGAGTGATGCGCTCACATTGTGAGATTCTGCCTTCGGCACATGCTTCAAGCCAGGCTTGCGGACCTTGAAGCCGGGACTCGAACTCATCCGCAACCAATGGGGCTTGCGGGGCTTGCGGAACTGTGCTTTTGTGCTTTCGTGACAGCCTCGGCTCCCTCAGATCCTGAAGCTTCCAGGTGTGCTCGGTGATGGCCATGGTCTTGGTCCTGCAGGCAGATGGGCGCACATCGCGAGTCTGAGTTTGCATCTTATCGCCTTGTCCAGCGCAATGACTGCAATGAGCAAAAGCCTCGGCATCTACGAAACTCTTCATCTTGACAGGTGGGCCATAATGTCACTGTAAGAAACAGCTTTTGCGCGAACAAGTCACGTGCAAGCTGCTAGGAATCGCATGGCATTTAGCGCCCAATCACCTGCCACTTCACACTTGCAATAATGGGGGCTGAGACTGAGGGAGAAGAGCCTCTTGCGAAGCTACACAAAGAAACAACATCTTCACAAAACGTGTCTAACAGCCTTGAACTCCGAGGCGTCACTGTACGAGGAAGACCAGCAAGCCTGGGCTAAAGGCTACCATCTGCCGACGCAATGCAGCTGGGAGCACTTAAGCCTGGTGCAGCCTGTCTCAGGCCTTACGCCTCGACGCATCATAAAGCTTGGCTGAGTGGCTCTTATCAGAGAGCCACCTGCTGGCTGGCGACCGACATGGAAAATAGTTCTAGACAACGATATGGAAGGAAGCGAAGCACTTCCTTGGGCCAGAAGAGCGGGTCGTCGTGTCCCTGTCACTGTGTCCATCATGTGTCCGTGCGGGCACTTACTTGGCAAACACCCCCTGGTCACAACAACCGCAGCATAGCAAAACCCAGTGAAATGGTTACGACTCAACTCCAAACATGAGTCATGCCGCAAACCCGGCTCCACCAATGAACGTTCTTGCCTTCAGCATTATCCGAAAATTATGATTTTTACTGAATTTGAAAGCGCATGTGTCATACCATCATTCCCAGTGAACCATTTCCGCAGGCATGGGCTTCTGACACAAGAGACGAAGAGATCCCTCCGTGCATGCATCTCGAGGAGACTGCTCATGGTCACGACCGTGTGTTTTGGTTTGTAGAGGAAACAACCTCTTATGACTTGGGCAGGACCTGGCAACACGTGGGTACGGCGAAGAGGACATGGCCTTTTCTGTACAGGCAGCAGCCACAGCTCTTGGTATTGCACTGGGGCATGCCGATCTGTTAGCACTATAGTGTCAGTAAACCGTTTAAACAAGTGGACATACATGCCAGCACTCTCACGGCTTGTCACAGTCTCAGAAGCGCATTTGGCCGCCTGGCATGCAGCAAGAGACGTCACCGGGCTGAGACCAGAGCAAACCAGACGTTTGCATGTCTTTTGAGTGAGCAGCCAGGAAGAAAGAGATCTCAAGGAAAAACTGCTGGCTGGACAAGAAACGATGTCACGGCATCTCAGATACCTATTGCTTCAGAGTGTGAGTGCTGGCGCACTTTCGTTTAGCGTTTTTTAAAGCGCGAGCACTCGCGAATCTCACATGAATCACACAACACCTTGGCACTTTGGCTAGGCCCAACAGAGTGCTCAGACATGCTCAAGCCGAGCGACAGCACTTTCAAACTTCCACACGTCGGAGACTCGGAGGCTCTTCGGCTCAGATTTCGCTGGCACGGAAAGACGATGTGCAAAGCGGGCAGCCTGAAAGGCAAGGCCAAGCTTCAGATTCTATCCGTCAAAAGTCAAAAGGTCCTTCTTCGGCCTTCGGGCTGGTGTTTGTTGAAGCAGCGCTCGACGGCGCGGAAGCGGCGCCGTCGGATCACCTCAGTGGGCTCCGGCGGCAATGAGCGAGCGACATTTGTGGACTCCGCAAGCACTCCGCAGGCTGCCGCCGAGGCACCGCTTGAGGGATGGGAGGGTCAGGTGGCTCAGGCTCGGTGGTCGGCTCCGACCCCTCACCACCAGACTCCTTCTAACCGATCGTAACCCATTGCGTGACCCCCAAAGCGTTCCCACAACACGTGACAGAAGCGACATGTCTCCACGACCCATCCTGCGCGGAGTCCGCAGAGTCATGTCCGCCTAGGGTGCGTCACGACTTCGAGAGCAGCATGCATTGTGGGGAAGCGTGTTGGGGTCGGGCCCTGAGACCCTAGTGGCTCTAGCATTGCAGGTGACATCCGAGCACCATGACTGCAACCGGAAGGGCAGCCACTCAATAAACACTCCTTAAACCAACATCCCCCAACTCCATCACGAAGCCAAGCCACCGCTGCCAGACCCGGAACAAGGAAGACACCGGCAGAGGCGCCGGAAGAAACTCTCCTCCTGCAAGGCGCCCAACGCGTCAATGAAAGACAGCAGTTTGGAATGCAAAAACCTGCCATCCCAAACTCAAAAGGATTAAGAAGCACCGCAGCGAAAACCTCCCGCTGGACTCACCGCAAAAACAAGTGCCAAAAGTGGTAAACTCAGGACTCAAGCCACCGGCAATGAAACGGCGCTTTGTTAAGCGACCTCTTTTGCGACCACGTGCGTTAAAGCCGTATCCTAGAAGGTACGGAAATTGCTAGCCGGCCGCGTATCAAAAACCTCACTTATGAAGGCCCGCGGCTCGAGCGTGCTTGCACCTGTACCCTGTACCTCTTGCAAAACACTTGACAGACAACTGCGCCATCTTGCATCAGACATCGCCAAACGCAGCTACGAGTAGAACAGATTGGATTTTTTCGTGAGAAGCTGAACTGACGACTAGGACTAGGCTGGGACAGCTCATCGTGCTCGTGCGATATCATGCGGGCCCGGCCTCCGTGTGCTTCACGTCGGGGGGAGTTAATCTACTTATTGCCACACGAAGTGGGATGAGCCTCGGGGATACACCAAAGAAAGGATGCAAGTGAAGTTAAGCACACAACGGGACACAACCGCTGCATGATTGATGCACGCCTGTCAGCACCAGGGCTTTCATCACCCACATTTCGGGCAACGATGCTCCGTGCCGACTGGCAGCAGCAAAACCTGAGGCTGAGCTTCAGAAGCAGTGCTTCAGTGACTCGTACAGAGGCGGACAGGCAGCGTGGACGAGACAATAACAATAACCCTCTGAAGGATCTTGGAGATACACACGTGTCCGCCCCTTTCCACTCTTCCCTTCCATGCTGGGCCAGAGAACACTGCCACGCAGCAATGTGCAGGCTCCTCCTCCTTGTGACAGCGGACTCAGACAGTGCCATAAGCAGTAGCAGCCCAAGAGCACCGCTGGATAGAAACTGCATGGAAATGCATGGAAGCTGTTTCTGAAGAGCACTGAGAACATCGGATCCTCACTGCTCGGGTTCTCTCCAGGCTGCTGGAGCACCGCAAGCAACGCCTCCGAACTCCTAAAGGGCGTCGCTCAGGGTCGTCTTGATGCTTAAGATTCGGTCTGATGTACTATGGCTATGGGTGCAATATCTTAGTAGAAAGTAGCTTGCGGAGCTTGATCTGGGGTCTGCCAAAGCACCATGCAGGCTGTCGGTGCGGGCCTGCGCGTGTAGGTGTGCGGGTGTGGGGGTGTGTGGGTGGCTGGCTGGGTGGGTGGTTGGGTGGGTGGCTGGGGGGGGTAGCTGGGTGGGTGGCTGGGTGGGTTGCTGGGGGGGTGGCTGGGTGTGTGGGTGGGCGAGTGGGTGGGTGAGTGGGTGGAAGGCCCGCACGGATGAATGCCCTTGGATTTGTCAGTTTCGCGGCGTAGTCTACGCCAAGGCCGCGGAGCCAAAGCATCTGGCGTGCAAATGCTCCGGCCGATATTCAAAGACACCTCTGCCATTGTCTTCAAGTTTGTGTCAGTCAAAGGCCGAAGATCTCCCCTGCAGTCCTGGACGGGATCCTCATGTGATCACAAATGGCCTTCAATCGGCGGAAGCTGATTGGCAGGTCCTGCAACAATCTCTTCAATATTGAGCGCGTGGGGAAATGTGGTGAACTTGTGGTCAGCTGGCCGGCTGCTGAAAAGCAAATGTAGCATACCACACACAATGGCGGTCCTCTTCTTTGCAGGGCACCTGCGAATACAGCACACATTCTCTTGCTTGCATGCCGTGCACCTGCTACAGGGTGCTACTCCACCATGGAACATGTGGCCGACGTAGCATGCGGCAAGACGGAACAGGCTTGAAAAGGAAGCCAGGGAACGCAGGGCAATGTGACAGTAAGTGTCGCTTCCTGGCCTTTGGCCCCACGGCAAGATGTGCTGGCACTGCCAAGACTTTCAGCGCTTCCTTGACGGACGTCTCGTTCCACTGGGCCTCGCCGTAGTCCTCACCCATCCTCGGAGGCAAGGCGAAGGCAAGCCTCCACTAGGCCCCGAAGGATTCCCAAACATTCTTAATTATGCCTTGAAGCATTCCTCGCCACTCGCAGCAGCTTTGCAAAATCCTTTCCCCAATTTCCTAGTTGAGCCGCTCTGGCTCCCGCAGCTGCCCATGCGCGGCTTCCTGCTTGATGGCCTCCTGTGGGCACGACGATCTCAGGAACGGAGGACATGCTGACACTGCCACTACACCACCTGCCCCCCCCCCCCCCATCGGCCTCCTCGGCCGGTCTCAGGCCCGAGTCACTAAAGCAGTCGCCCTGGAGTCCCGAAGAGGCTCAAGGAAGTCAGCTCGTCGCACCGCAGCACACGCGCCTCGCCACTGACGAGCGCCGCTTCGAAGGGCCGCCTTTCGAGCTGCCTCTGAAGATCTCTTCTCACACGTCTTTTCAAGTATGGACGTTGTCGAAGCTTTGCATACTTTTGGCATACTTGGCATACTTGGCATACTTGGCATACTTGGCATACTGCATCATCCTGCCTTAGCCGCTCGGCGGCCTCCGCACCTGCAAGCCCGCCGAGAAGCTCCTGCCTCTCAGCACATGGCTCCCAGGGTGCTTTGCGCTTTTTCGCCACACTTAGGCCAATTCAACCGCCATAAAGGAAGTCACCATCTCCCCTCTCCTCAGGGCATCCAGGTCGGCCCGATACCTGGAGCACGGTTGACCGACACAGCACGAACTGTGAACTGGGGCCGGTGGAACGGCGGAAGCAGATTCAGACCACCTTTTCCAGCTTTCCAGCTCAGGGCAACTGCCTGAGCCCTGTACAGCACGGCCAGCTGCTGCGACGGCGGGGCCCCAGCATTCACCAGGAGGCCACGGCCTGCTTTTATCTGCTTTTATCTGCTTTGGTGCTCGCTGGGACACTCACACCTCCTCTCATCTTGGCTCGTCGCGGCTCGAATGCAGTGATTTCACAGTTTCGCTTTCTTCTTTCGAGGTTTCTTGCCGAGCCTGGCTTATTCTGCCCGGCTGCGACCTCGTTGCCAGATGCTGGACCCTGGCTCTCGTGAATCGTTGGCACCTGAGCAACCAAAGTTGAGCACCAATAGGGTTACGTCTTAAAGTCATTGACAAGTTTTGACAAGCATCCCAGCCGACCTTGCTGCCCACCCTCAGCGGAGGATCATCTGCTCCTGCTCCCTGCCATCTGATGTTGAACAGGTCTCTTGGTGCACACTCTGAATAATTGCACTGACCCCGTTCGGTCAGTTCTAACGCGTGAAGCGAGTCATTCAAGATGCAGACCCTGCCTGCAACCCTACTCGCTGCGTGGCTGTCAAGAGCACGCGGGCATGCTCCCGCAACGTGTTGAAGCGCGGATTGATCATCCGCTCTCCGTCCTCAAACTTTCATTTGCAACATACATTGGATTCAGGCCTCGAGCTTGCTGGACTGGGCAATCAGTGGTCGAAGGCTATCACAGCTGCCATGAAGAAATGCAAAAGGCTGGCTCAACACCTTTGCCCAGGGTCCAAGAGAACCGGAACCGTGGGGAGGCGATCCCGCAGCGCGCGGCGGTGTGCTGCCTAAGACAGGAGCAAAACTCTGATCTCAAGCGTGCTGAGAAGCCAAGAGAATTGCAGAAGCACGCAAAGTAGTAGAAAAGACGATGTGTCCAGCCCATTACCTGTAACTCTGAATGAGATCCAGGCAGTGTAAAAGGCGCTGCAGACCGCGAGGAAATGCCTTGAAGCGCGGGCAAGGCAAACGGCGCACGCTCTCTCTGCGCTTCCACGCATAAGATCCTGAACTTACCGGCTCAAGTCGTTTTAGCATTTTCCGAACATCAGCGCAAAGCCCCAACCCTCACCCCCAAAAACCCACGCTGACCCTCAAGATGTTTTGCGAAAAGATGGCCTTGATCAGGCCAGGCTCTGGGAGCCACAAGAACTTAGGGATTTTTGACAGCCTGTGTCTCAGCCTACAAGAGCGACGGCCTTGAGGTTAAGGTTCCAAATGGTTTTACGACTCGACTTAATCATCGGAGGCCCTAAACCTCAACCTTTTGATTCCGCAGACCCGGGATCGGAAGGCCACTGCGTTAGAGCCCAAACGCACCCTAAGCTAAGTTCGCTTCAAGCCTTTTCCGGTTCCACTGTTTTGTTTCTTGCATGTACTTACGGTTTGCTGGTGCGCACTTTGCCCGAGTCCCCATTCCTCAAACCCACAGGTGGCCTGGTAGAGACTGGAGCTGAGATGAGCTGAGCCTTAAGCCTTTGGACGAGGCACCCCGGTGGATGCCAAGCCGCTTTGGCGCACGCCTCGCACGGCTTAAACGGACTCCACTCGGTGCTACTCATGTTACGGAGCCTCGCAAGCCATCGCGCCTCCAACAGAACGTTTTCCATCAGCATGCAGGTGTATTCCTCAGCAGCCATTCGGTGCAGTGGCATACCATTCTAGCGAAGGCGATGAAGGCGCAAGGACAATTCGAGCGAAGTGCAGCAGGGGCTCGTGACCGGGGAAGAGCCATGTTGCGTAGCTCGGGTCACAAGTCTCCTGCAGGCTGTAACGAGAAAAAGTGCCTCAAGACAGTTGGGACTCGGGGATCGGATTCGTCGGACCCCCCCGTGTCCAGTATCGTGCCGAAGCAGTGCTCCATGTCTAGGTCGCTGCCCTCGAAGTTGGCGCCACAACCACCGGAGAAGAGCGTGTCCCCAGTGAAAAGTGCGTCCAGGCCTCAAGAGAAAGAAGTAGAAACTGGATGCATCAGGGTGCAAGAACTGCCTGAATGTTGCCAGAAGCGAAAGATAATATCATGGGCGCTCCTTGATCCCCGATACCCCCAAAAGCTCAAGCGGGGCTCGGTCGCTGTCCACGGCCGAGGATTCGGCCTGAAGGGGTCACGGCGGGCTCATTGGTGAGCCATCGAACATCTGCCAAAACAACCCTCCCAGCCTTGCAGGGCAGCCGAAACATGACGCTCCCCTGCGTGTGGCCAGGAGCCCCGAGGGCCTCGCAGGAGCTCCAAACTCTGCATGGCATGTGCACCCATCACGCCACCTGTGGCATAGAAAGGCCTCCCTTAAGTGAACTCGCGGTGTACTTCGTTGTACCCTCAACTTCCTGGCCTGGAAGCTGAGGTTACCAACCTCGATCTGGTCCAAATGCTGCACCTGTAGCTGCATCGCAAGGCCTTCTAGACATGTTCGAACGATGCCGAACGGTCCTTTGTAGCCATTCGAACCAGGGCACAGGATGCGTACAGCCAGGAACATCGTCCTCCAGTCCTTAAAATCATCACTGACATGACAGTCACACACTAAACGCGTGACACGCGCGCCTCCAAACACTTTGAGCCGCTCGGCGAAGTGCAACAGCTGCACAGCTGTCACATCTTGCGACTCCGACTCCGTGGCAGAATCCTGAGGCTTTGAGGCTCTCTGCTCTTCGCCCAAGACGACAGAACCATATGCAGCTGTCCGGGACGATCGAATTGCCAAAAGACTCGAAAGAAAGAACTTGCAAAGGTTGACTCGGCTACAGCAGAACAAACTTCACACGAACAAACCGTGCCAAAACGACTGAAACACTGCTTTTATGTGCTTTTGATGGCATGTGTGATGTGGAGCTGGATGGCCTTCAATCCTTTTCAGGTGAACTTTCGAAGTTCGTGACGGTATCACCGTGAGTCCGAGATCTTTGGATTTGCCGCATGGTGCCGGCCGAGCTCTTAGCACGAAATCATGGATGTAGAGTTTCGGTGTTTCAATGTGATTCAGGATGTTTCAGGTTCTGAAACTTTTTGGCTGGAGCTTGAGTTGAGTGATTTCTTGGACTTGACAGCTGGAGATTCGCGGGCGTTGCGTCGTGCGTTTCTCAACTTTGCTTTCCCGACCTTGGGGCACACCGAGAAAGGACAGGTTTGCGCACAGAATTATCAGAGCTTTGTGTGTTCCGAGTCGAGAATCAGGCAAAGCTGTGTTCTGACCATGCCCATCCCGTGAGTGTTCGTGGCATACCCGAAGACAGATTGAAAAGGCAAAGAAAGGATGGAGCGAATGAACTGTTGATCTCTGGTGGAGAGCTCATGTCCACAGAGGCTGCCAGAACACTGACTACACATGCCTTTGCTTCGTGCAGTCGTTTCATTCCCTTGACCCTCATCTCATCCTATATGTTCCTATCTAAGCTCCGAGCTGGAGCGGAGTGATTTGCCTTTGAAGCCCGGGCTGCAAGCTCCTCGTTGCCACCTCAGCGTGTACCAGCTTCAACTAAACTATGAGGAATCAGAGAGGCAATTGAGTTTTTTGGACAGCACAGGTGCCAGAAGTCTTCGTTCCCATCACTGCTTAAGAGCTGCCACACTGCGAAGTGACCTAAATCCTCGTTGCCCCTGCAGAATGTGCACAGCACGACAGGGTAAGAGTCACCCTTCTCATGTCGAGGACGGGACCGGCATGATCCCAATGCTTGTGGGTGCACAAGACCTCACTTGCTGACATACTCTCTTAGACATAGTACGCCGCTGTGAGATCACCTTTGCTATGCTGACATGCACCCCAAAGCAAGCGCACTCTCATCGAATTGCCCCCAAGTGGCTGCTTCCAACCGAAGGCCACCGTACGTCGCATAAAATCGCTCTGCTATGTGCTCGAGGGCCTCCTGATGACGGGACTATATTCGCAACTTAAGCCCGGTATTGCCGTCACTGTTTCAGAGAAAGTCCTCCACAGCAGCTGCATCGCAAGGATCGACCACTGTTGTAGGCAAACCTTGCCTGTGACGAAAGGTCTCATCTTCATCTGTGCTAAAAACAACAGCTTGATCGGAAGGCAAAAGTCTGCGGAGGCCTGTTGGCATTGTAAGCGCTATCTTCACCCATGCCCTCAGGGTGGCAAAAAGACTCCCAGCCGGTCTCTTCACGCGTGACATGTTCGCCTGCCTCATACACCAGAACGTAGCAAAAGTTGTCGGTGAGGCAAGGAACTGCGTGCACGTAGCATACCTTACAAAAGCACAAGCCCAGCCTTCCATATCTTTCATGCCCAAAGCAGAATATGCTGGTGCCCCTCACTTGTAGGCTGACAGGCTGATTGCAACAAGGGTGCTCCGCCGTCTGATGGAAACAGCCGAGTGCGGATGTCGCTGAAGCGGCTGTGGTAAGGCCGCCTTACTGACACACAACTGCATGTTGCAAGTATGAAAGGGTGACCTCGGGTGACCTCACCTAAAGCAAAACCAACTCTGAGCAAAAAACTCGATGGTTCTCTATGCCTGACACCCCTCAAGACAGTCGCACCATTTGGCACCTCATCCATTTCTTCTGAATCGCACGGGAGAGCTTCACGTGCAACTTGCAGATCCTGCATCGGGGGCCCGCGCTCAGGTCTCATGTCCTTGTTGCCTCCTGCACTCCAGTGCATGCCTGAGTGTGTAGGCATGCTCGACAATGTAGCCGAAGTAGCTGGCAGCTGGTTGCAGCAAGAGGCGCAGGATGAGCCTCCCAATGTCCAACTTGAGCTCGTACCGCTTATGCCACTGAAATGAAGATGAAGCTTTCGTGCAGCTTGGAAGATCTTAGTGCGGCCTGGGGATGTACAGCAGCAAGAGCATCAAGCCCAGGACCAGCATGTAAATCCTGGGGCGGACACCAGCGAACGCCAAGTGCCAGTGACGCAGCTAACCCTATACAAGGCCCAAAGGCCAGTCTAAAAGATGCAGTGATCATGTGCACCATTGACAGAGACGGAAGGTGCAACACACAAACCAGCTATCAGCACGATGCATCGGGCAGATAGGGCTTATCATCACTTCGAAGCGAAAGGGGCTGCAGACGAGGATCAACAGAAGGACAGCCACGAGAACTCCAGCTGCATGGCGCCTGTAGCTCAGCAAGTCAAGATGGGGCATATGCATTCATTGCATGCGTTAATTCTTCCCACACACGGAGAGAGGGAGGTCAGCCAGAGATTGTTGTACAATGGTACACTGACTGGAGATGACTGGAGAGACCTCAGTACAGGAGAGACCTCAGTATAGGGGAATCCCATCGGGACTCCTGGAAAACATTGCAGGTACATGGAGCTGGCCAAACTCCACATCCCCTGATGCTTCATAGCTTCGTTGGATTGGGTAGAAGCATCAGGCCCAATCCCCCTGCGGGAAAATTCGACTCATGCATAAGCTCTCAGCTCCAAAGCCCCTTAGCTTAGAATCAGGGTTTACACACACACACCCCTCCTACGAGGGGAGACACAGTGCATTCCAAGGCCACAAGAGATATGCTGCACGCACACCCTCCGAAGAGGGAAAGTCCTGGTCTTGTACCTTTGTCACCGGTGAGTCCTCCGCCATAGGCCCGTCACCACCATAGGCCCTCCTCCTCCAGCACCGACCTTAGAAATCCTTAGTGTCGTCGTCATCATCGTCGTCAGAGACCTCCAGCTGCCATGACAGGCCCAGGAGCGTCCGGGAGATCCCAGCTGCCACCGCCTTGACCCAAGGCACCTCCCATCATCGTCGTCGTCGTGGAGGACCCCCAGCTGCCACAAAGGACCCAGGAGCGTCCAGGAGGCCCCCGCTGTCCACAGCGACCCAGAGCACCTCTACTTTTAAAGAAAGAAAACGGTCTATTTGCAACTGAGGGGCAACCACCGGAAATTCGACTCGGGTCGAGACCCACGAATAGAGAGTTAGACCACCTCGTCTATGTCTCACGACTGGGCATACGACGCCCTTCAACAATTTCCGGTTCCGCCCTTATTGGCGACTTTGAGCTTCAGCCGTGGCTGGTACCTCGAGAGAGAGAGAGAATCCGCTCATAGCACTGGGTGCCTACCAAGGCTCATCTGGCACTGAAGCCTCTCTGTTTACTTGGGTGATCCCCATCCAGGAATCAGGCAATGCCCAAACGGGTAAATTGCCCTTGGGCGACGAAGCCCACACACGGAGAGAGGGAGGTCAGCCAGAGATTGTTGTACAATGGTACACTGACTGGAGATGACTGGAGAGACCTCAGTACAGGAGAGACCTCAGTATAGGGGAATCCCATCGGGACTCCTGGAAAACATTGCAGGTACATGGAGCTGGCCAAACTCCACATCCCCTGATGCTTCATAGCTTCGTTGGATTGGGTAGAAGCATCAGGCCCAATCCCCCTGCGGGAAAATTCGACTCATGCATAAGCTCTCAGCTCCAAGCCCCTTAGCTTAGAATCAGGGTTTACACACACACACACCCTCCTACGAGGGGAGACACAGTGCATTCCAAGGCCACAAGAGATATGCTGCACGCACACCCTCCGAAGAGGGAAAGTCCTGGTCTTGTACCTTTGTCACCGGTGAGTCCTCCGCCATAGGCCCGTCACCGCCATAGGCCCTCCTCCTCCAGCACCGACCTTAGAAATCCTTAGTGTCGTCGTCATCATCGTCGTCAGAGACCTCCAGCTGCCATGACAGGCCCAGGAGCGTCCGGGAGATCCCAGCTGCCACCGCCTTGACCCAAGGCACCTCCCATCATCGTCGTCGTCGTGGAGGACCCCCAGCTGCCACAAAGGACCCAGGAGCGTCCAGGAGGCCCCCGCTGTCCACAGCGACCCAGAGCACCTCTACTTTTAAAGAAAGAAAACGGTCTATTTGCAACTGAGGGGCAACCACCGGAAATTCGACTCGGGTCGAGACCCACGAATAGAGAGTTAGACCACCTCGTCTATGTCTCACGACTGGGCATACGACGCCCTTCAACAATTTCCGGTTCCGCCCTTATTGGCGACTTTGAGCTTCAGCCGTGGCTGGTACCTCGAGAGAGAGAGAGAATCCGCTCATAGCACTGGGTGCCTACCAAGGCTCATCTGGCACTGAAGCCTCTCTGTTTACTTGGGTGATCCCCATCCAGGAATCAGGCAATGCCCAAACGGGTAAATTGCCCTTGGGCGACGAAGCCCACACACGGAGAGAGGGAGGTCAGCCAGAGATTGTTGTACAATGGTACACTGACTGGAGATGACTGGAGAGACCTCAGTACAGGAGAGACCTCAGTATAGGGGAATCCCATCGGGACTCCTGGAAAACATTGCAGGTACATGGAGCTGGCCAAACTCCACATCCCCTGATGCTTCATAGCTTCGTTGGATTGGGTAGAAGCATCAGGCCCAATCCCCCTGCGGGAAAATTCGACTCATGCATAAGCTCTCAGCTCCAAAGCCCCTTAGCTTAGAATCAGGGTTTACACACACACACAGGGCAGTCATCTTCTGGGCTCAAGAAAGCCTATGATCTTCGTGCTATGTTGTTCTTGCGGTTCTCTCTGATGATAAATGCATTGAGGAAGGCATTGAGCCCTGCAAACCATCCGAGTCTGGCGTGGCTGAGACTTGTAAGAAGCCTACCCAGCCTGTCGGGGCGACGATCTCGCATCTGCCCGCATGAGGGTTCTCCACACATTTTTCACTAGGCAAACAAACCACCGAACCTCCAACCCTCCAACCTTCAAGCTCCGTGACAAAAGCTCCAGCACACGAGCACATTTGAGGAGGGCACAGGCCCAGGGTGCATCGCCCCGGACGTGACCTGCAGGATCTCAGAACGAGATAGATGCTGGCAGATTCGGTTACGTGGGCGATGCAAGGTTGGAATCCCAGGAACTCATCTCCCCCGCAACTCGCAAACGCTCAACGGATTTCTCGTCGCCTCTCCGGGAGCCATGGAGCGATGGGCAGGAGTCGTGGCCTTGGAAAACCACTGTGCGGCTCATGGGTTCGACAAGGTCAGATGAGGCACAAGATGCATAAGCAAAAAGATTTATGATAACACGTTGTTCTTTGCAGCCTCTGCCCCAATGCGCTCTGAAAATGACAGGTGGTGTGCCCCGCGCGGAACACCACTCTTTGGTTGTAGACCGCTGGCTCGCGACCCGGTTCGGCAACGTAGCTTTCTTCAACACCGTCTGGGGGATTTGAAGAAGGCCCATCAATCTCTCCTTTTGGTCGATTTTTGGCACCCAATTTGGTTTAACTTTGGAGCTGTCAAAGGAATATCAACCCACGACCGTGCCATTGTCCTGGTTTGTGCACAGTCTTGTAAGGGGCCTGTATGCCCAAAAGACAACTAAGGGAATTTACGAAAGCACTGCCTGTAGCAAACCAGTGGCATCAGGTACCCAGTGGGGACAACGGTTAACACCCTGCAAAGTTGCTGGTCAAGGCAGGATGATGATCTCAAAACCGAAAGCATCGACCTTGGCAGTAGGGGCCGTAGCTAAAAACCCTGCCGATCGTCTAAAACTCCACCAACACCGGTGACGTGGACTTCGCCTCCAATGTTTGTGCCTTTACATTGTCCCGTGATCGTTCCGATTTCCACATGTTGACGTCACAATGTCTTCGTCCACATGCCATGAGGAAGAACTCCTGTGCAGATTTCACAAAGTTTCACATAGGTTTTTGGGAGGGTCCAATGCTGTGCATCTGTTTTGCGGGTCTTCTAATGGAGAAGACTCAGCCTTCCAGCTAAACAGCTCAAGCGCACATCTCACTTCATCACTTAGGCAAGAGAACGTTTCCAAATTGCCCATACCTTGCTGATCAAACCAGGCCCTCGGTCCACAAACTAGCACAGCAGCTTTCGAACCTTTAGAACTCGAGCAGGACCCTTCTTCACGGCATTTTTCCTCTGCACTGCATGGCCCTTCACCATTCGGTGGGGAAAGGATGAAAAATGCAGGAACTTTGAGAGACGGCCTCGGGGTATATCCGTTATCCCACACTCCAAGCCCTAAACAACGGCCAAACAAGCCCTCGCATCGCAGTGGCGCCCTCGTCACCCAATGCCCGAGGATCACACTCTGTCATGGCGGACGATGCCCGCTGACCTCGCACTTCAGGCAATGGGAGGGCAGCCAAAAGCCTACGAACTCGTCACACATGCCCCACGCATGCTTGACGCATGTTTGACTTGTAAGGCTTTGGCCGAGCAACGGCACATTGAAGCTGGCCGTGGTGCTAGCAACTGGTCAGACAAACGAAAGATGGCTGTGGGGTAGAGATGCACTGTTTAGCTGGCAGCTGTCGCCAGTGCAAAGGTTCATGGAACAAACCAAGGGTCTATCCCAATCACATGTTCAAGCCAAGCAGCTGCGGCCAAGGAGGCTCAGAAAACAAAATCCAATACGTTGCGCCTTTTAATTTTGCTGATAACAACTTCGAAAAGCATGCCTACTATTCATAGCTTCCACGCACTTGCTTACAATCGTAGAATCAGCAGCTGATGCAGCTATCAACAAGCCAGGCACGCGACAACGCCGCCTGAATTGACAGTGTGCTTCAGATCTCAATGTGGCTCGCAATGGAGGGAACAGATCAAGCTAGCGCTGCAACCCGCCATTTCTCAACAGCGGCGCACTTCATCAAGAGATAGCTTTTGCAGACTTCCCCTCGAGTCCATGCCATAGGTGCTATACACCGATGCTCGCAGCACCACATCATGGTGCGCCTAGAACGTCTCAAAGGCGATCTTGTGGATGCGACGGTATCAGCCCCGCATGCCGCGTACACAGTCGGACAGTGCACTTTGGAGGCGAATGCCTGCTCCGAGGACCAGCATTGAAACGGGCACTGCACTGGTTTGTGTGCCGTTGAACACCAGTATGGAAAGTGCGTCGCTCACCAGCCGGGCATGTTGGCGCAGCACTGAACTTGCCGGAAAGCGAGGCCCCCCGCGTCTGTGTCCGAGTCCGCTTTGACGTCGCTGCTACAAGCGAGATGCGCTGTGAGATCCACCATTCTCGACCTGGGATGGCGTGTGTTTTCTCCACTTCCGAGACATCCCTCTATCGCTGCTGTCCAAGGGTCAATGAATGTTGTGATCGAATGTGAGGGCGCTTCCGCCGTGGTAGCACCCGAGCCACTAATCCTGCCAAGCACACAGGATGAGAACCGGGGAGCACCAGAGTCAGCATGCTCTGCAGCGATGCCTCAGCGTGAACTCCAAGTCACTCTCTGACTGGTTCATTACCTGAGCAACGGGTATCATGTAGCTGCACACAAAATGCAAACTTTTCCAAGACACTAGAGCTACGACCTGGGACTTAACGGAAGCACCGATACGGTCCAAGCATGTCAGCTCGTATGTATGACCAGGAGACAACAACTGAAAGGGTGTCATCCACATTGCGCCAGGCAGTGCATTCCAGGAGATCTCGACTCGAGCTGCAAAGCACCCGGCGGGCCCCTGGCCGAATGTACCTGCCAACCGACACACCCTATCGTTTCACCACTTTGGCCCGGCCCATGGTTTTACAGCCTGCTATGCAACAACCTGTACATACACGAGACTCATATCAAGTCTCCATACACTTCGTACCACATCTTGCCACCTCACACCATGCAGATCAGATTGCAACGCCTGGAGAAGTGGCCCAGGAACCAGTAAGCAGGTTGAAGGAGGACCTCATCCGAACCTCACGTAATAAGCTTTGCGGGAACCTCGTGACGCTTAAGCTTCCGGCACAAATGGAAGCTATCACGCTCAATGCAGACAGGCTGCGAGTGTCACATATGATCGGTGCAAGGCAAAAGTTACCGACATGGTTTGGACCTCACGAATCGGGTGCGACCCATCACGCTCCGCTGGTCCGTGAAATCCCAAAACCCCTAGAAGCGGACGAGACCGTGACAGCCTAAAACCCCAAAACCCCTAGAAGCGGACGAGAGCGTGACAGCCCAAAACCCTAGAAGCGGACGAGACCGTGACAGCCTAAAACCCCAAAACCCCTAGAAGCGGACGAGAGCGTGACAGCCCAAAACCCCTAAAAGCGGACGAGACCGTGACAGCCTAAAACCCCAAAACCCCTAGAAGCGGACGAGACCGTGACAGCCCAAAACCCCTAGAAGCGGACGAGACCGTGACAGCCTAAAACCCCAAAACCCCCAAGCGGACGAGAGCGTGACAGCCCAAAACCCGTAGAAGCGGACGAGACCGTGACAGCCTCTCGTCCGCTTCTAGGGGTTTTGGGGTTTTAGGCTGTCACGGTCTCGTCCGTTTCTAGGGGTTTTGGGCTGTCACGGTCTCGTCCGCTTATAGGGGTTTTGGGGTTTTAGGCTGTCACGGTCTCGTCCGCTTCTAGGGGTTTTTTCCGGTCACGCTCTCGTCCGCTTCTGGGGTTTCGGGGTTTTAGGCTGTCACGGTCTCGTCCGCTTCTAGGGGTTTTGGGCTGTCACGGTCTCGTCTGCTTCTAGGGGTGTTGGGCTGTCACGGGCTCGTCCGCTTCTAGGGTTTTTGGGGTTTTGGGCTGTCACGGTCTCGTCCGCTACTAGGGGTTTTGGGCTGTCACGGTCTCGTCCGCTTCTATGGGTTTTTGGGGTTTTAGGCTGTCACGGTCTCGTCCGCTTCTAGGGGTTTTGGGCTGTCACGTTCTCGTCCGCTTCTAGGGGTTTTCTGGTTTTAGGCTGTCACGGTCTCGTCCGCTTCTAGGGGTTTTGGGGCTGTCACGGTCTCGTCCGCTTCGAACTAGGGGATTTGGGGTTTTAGGCTGTCACAGTCTCGTCCGCTTCTAGGGGTTTTGGGGTTTCAGGCTGTCACGGTCTCGTCCGCTTCTAGGGGTTTTGGGGTTTCAGGCTGTCACGGTCTCGTCCGCTTCTAGGTGTTTTGGGGTTTTAGGCTGTCACGGTCTCGTCCGCTTCTGGGGGTTTTGGGGCTTGAGGCTGTCACGGTCTCGTCCGCTTCTAGGGGTTTTGGGGTTTCAGGCTGTCACGGTCTCGTCCGCTTCTAGGGGGTTTGGGCTGTCACGGTCTCGTCTGCTTCTAGGGGTGTTGGGCTGTCACGGGTTCGTTCGCTCCTAGGGGTTTTGGGGTTTTAGGCTGACACGGTCTCGTCCGCGTCGCCCAAATCCCCTAGAAGCGGACGAGACCGTGACAGCCTAAAACCCTAAAACCCTAGAAGCGGACGAGACCGTGACAGCCCAAAACCCCTAGAAGCGGACGAGACCGTGACAGCCCAAAACCCCTAGAAGCGGACGAGACCGTGACAGCCTAAAACCCCAAAACCCCTAGAAGCGGACGAGACCGTGACAGCCCAAAACCTCCTAGAAGCGGACGAGACCGTGACAGCCTAACACCCCAAAACCCCTAGAAGCGGACGAGCCCGTGACAGCCCAACACCCCTAGAAGCAGACGAGACCGTGACAGCCCAAAACCCCTAGAAGCGGACGAGACCGTGACAGCCTAAAACCCCAAAACCCCTAGAAGCGGACGAGACTGTGACAGCCCAAAACCCCTAGAAGCGGACGAGACCGTGACAGCCTAAAACCCCAAAACCCCTAGAAGCGGACGAGACCGTGACAGCCTAAAACCCCAAAACCCCTAGAAGCGGACGAGACCGTGACAGCCCAAAACCCCTAGAAGCGGACGAGACTGTGACAGCCTAAAACCCCAAAACCCCTAGAAGCGGACGAGACCGTGACAGCCCAAAACCCCTAGAAGCGGACAACACCCCTAGAAGCGGACGAGACCGTGACAGCCTAAAACCCCAAGACTCCTAGAAGCGGACGAGACCGTGACAGCCCAAAACCCCTAGAAGCGGACGAGACCGCGCCAGCCTAAAACCCCAAAACCCCTAGAAGCGGACGAGACCGTGACAGCCCAACACCCCTAGAAGCGGACGAGACCGTGACAGCCCAAAACCCCTAGAAGGGGACGAGACCGTGACAGCCCAAACCCCTAGAAGCGGACGAGACCGTGACCGCCCAAAACCCCTAGAAGCGGACGAGACCGTGACAGCCTAAAACCCCAAAACCCCTAGAAGCGGACGAGACCGTGACAGGGCGTGACATACAGGCTGGGGCTTTGCGATGTGAACTCACGAAGAGCACATGGCGTGACATACAGGCTGGGGGGCTTGTGGGCCTTGACGTGTGAATTCACAACAAACACAGGGCGTGACATACAGGCTGGGGCCTTGCGATGTGAACTCACGAAGAGCACAGGGCGTGACATACAGGCTGGGGCCTTTGGGGCCTTGACGTGTGAATTCACGACAAACGCAAGGCGTGACATACAGGCTGAGCCTTGCGATGTGAACTCACGAAGAGCACAGGGCGTGACATACAGGCTGGGGCCTTTGGGGCCTTGACGTGTGAATTCACGACAAACGCAAGGCGTGACATACAGGCTGAGCCTTGCGATGTGAACTCACGAAGAGCACAGGGCCTGACATACAGGCTGGGGCCTTTGGGGCCTTGACGTGTGAATTCACGACAAACGCAGGGCGTGACATTCAGACTGGGCCTTGCGATGTGTAGAAGCGGACGAGACCGTGACAGCCTAAACCCCTAGAAGCGGACGAGACCGTGACAGCCCAAAACCCCAAAAACCGCTAGAACGGACGAGACCGTGACAGCCTAAAACCCCAAAACCCCTAGAAGCGGACGAGCCCGTGACAGCCCAAAACCCCTAGAAGCGGACGAGACCGTGACAGCCTAAAACCCCAAAACCCCTAGAAGCGGACGAGACCGTGACAGCCCAAAACCCTTAGAAGCGGACGAGACCGTGACAGCCTAAAACCCCAAAACCCCTAGAAGCGGACGAGACCGTGACAGCCTAAAACCCCAAAACCCCTAGAAGCGGACGAGACCGTGACAGCCCAAAACCCCTAGAAGCGGACGAGACCGTGACAGCTTAAAACCCCAAAACCCCTAGAAGCGGACGAGACCGTGACAGCCTAAAACCCCAAAACCCCTTTCTCGGACGAGACCGTGACATCCAAAAACCCCTGGAAGCGGACGAGACCGTGACAGGCTAAAACCCCGAAGAGACCGTGACAGCATAAAACCCCAAAACCCCTAGAAGCGGACGAGCCCGTGACAGCCCAAAACCCCCAGATGCGGACGAGACCGTGACAGCCCAAAACCCCTAGAAGCGCACGAGACCGTGACAGCCTAAAACCCCCGAGACCGTGACAGCCTAAAACCCCAAAACCCCTAGAAGCGGACGAGACCGTGACAGCCTAAAACCCCAAAACCCCTAGAAGCGGACGAGACCGTGACAGCCCAAAACCCCTAGAAGCGGACGAGACCGTGACAGCCTAAAACCCCAAAAACCGCTAGAAGCGGACGAGACCGTAACAGCCCAAAACCCCTAGAAGCTGACGAGACCGTGACAGCCTAAAACCCCAAAACCCCTAGAAGCGGACGAGACCGTGACAGCCCAAAACCCCTAGAAGCGGACGAGACCGTGACAGCCCAAAACCCCTAGAAGCGGACGAGACCGTGACAGCCCCAAAACCCGCAGAAGCGGACGAGACCGTGACAGCCCAAAACCCCTAGAAGCGGACGAGACCGTGACAGCCTAAAACCCCAAAACCGCTAGAAGCGGACGAGACCGTGACAGCCCAAAACCCCTAGAAGCGGACGAGACCGTGACAGCCCAAAACCCCAAAACCCCTAGAAGCGGACGAGACCGTGACAGCCTAAAACCCCAAAACCCCTAGAAGCGGACGAGACCGTGAAAGCCCAACACCCCTAGAAGCAGACGAGACCGTGACAGACCAAAACCCCTAGAAGCGGACGAGACCGTGACAGCCTAAAACCCCAAAACCCCCTAGAAGCGGACGAGACCGTGACAGCCCAAAACCCCTAGAAGCGGACGAGACCGTGACAGCCTAAATGCACGCCCACTGCAGACAAGTCGACCACCAAGCTCGTCCAGGCAAAGGTTCCAGTCAATCCAGCCCTCGCAGCCCGAATTGAGGTCGGCAATGATGTTCATGCCATAACGCTCCCCTGTCTTCCAGCTGTCCAGCATGGAGCTGAGACTTCTGCCTCCCAGCTCTTGGCAGCCCTCCGTGAAGAGGAGGTGCTTGTCAGGCCTGGATTCTCAAATCCTGCTTACTCTTGCCTTGCGCCTGAAGCACATCGAACTGGATGAGTGTGGATAAACCGAAAGAGGGCCAAAACCATTGCCTCAGGTCAGCGGTCTGCCGGACGCTGTCTAGACAAAGCCGACCACGAAGCTCTGGAAAGTGCCTCAGAAAGCATGAGACAAAAGGAACGGCGAAGCTAGCCAAATTCTCGCAAGAAAGCCAAGTCTTTGGTGCTGCTGCTGGTTAATGGCGACGCGCACGGAACATATCTTGCCACATACACCTGTGGCAACCAAGGTGCATCGTGCCATCCAAATGCTCTGAACCAGCCAAGAACTTCATGACCTGCTCGACACTGATTGCAGGTTGCCGAGTCATGTTGCTCCCAGCCGAAAGCCCAAGCCCACCGGCGCCGGAAGTTTTCTGGCAGCGGCCAGGACACGCAGGGCATCCTCGAAAGGCACCTGGCTTAGGTGCAAGTCAGGGTCTGGGAGTCAGACGTTTGGCAATCTGGCAAGTTAAGAACAAGATAAGCTGCAATGCACGAGGTCAGCGCTTCAGATTCTGCTCTCCTGCAACTTCCTTCTGTTGCCCCTCGCATCCCTTGCACCCTCCTTCCACCGTTCAGTGCCGCGAAGGGCCCTGCCTCCGCGCGGCCCGGCCACCACTCAAATCGTGGGTCGCCATACCTGGGACTGACAGAACTTGGACTTGCTTCAGACTCCGTGATGTGGTTTAAAAGGGGAGAGCTTCGACCTTTCGAGGGTCGCTCTCAGCACCACAACAACAATACAAAATGAAAAAAGAAGAGAGCAATACAGAGTCCTGCATCTTTCATCCAAGTACCAATGATACCCGATTCCCCAAACGTACTTGGCAGCGTCTGGGTCGCTGTAGATAGACGCCGCGCGCTGCAGCATTCCATCTCTGTTGTGGTCCCACGCCACAATCTTCAGGTCAAGCTTTTCTTGCTGCAGCATTGGGCCCAGAAAGTCTCGGATGAAGGCCGCCTCCTCAGCACCTGTCCACTGGCAGGACTCCCAGGGAGTGGCAGCCTCAGGCTCGTTCTGAACAGAGACCCCCCACAAAGGGACGCCACGTGAGGCCATCTCCTGCGCGAAGCACACGAAGTGCTTGGCCCAACACGCACGGTATCGGGGCAGAAGCTTGCCCCCGAGGTTGAACTTCCCGTTGCTCTTCATCCAAGGAGGGGGGCTCCAGGGACTCGCGAGCAACGAGAGGGGCCCCAGCTGCATTGCAGCTCGGACCATGGGGAGAATGGCCACTTCATACCGCTCCAGGCTGAAGCCTTGTTTACAAACTTACGATTCTTTGCAAGGCCCACAGAAAAAATGAACTCCAACAGACGAATCACGAATCATCATGAATAGCCTGATTAGCTCAGTTCCCAGCCGTTCAGGGACTCATCTGAGAAGTCTCCACAACTCCAACTTCCGAGGCAAAAGTCGCAAGACCCGATGTGAAGGCGCCCCAAGGAGTAGCCCAGCCCATTTCGGTCAAAGTACGCATGGATGATGTGCGACTGCCTTATCTCTGAACCCCCTTTCCAGAGAGCCCCCAGCCTCTCCCTCCTATTTGGTCAAGGACCCACCCAAAAACCACGCACAGATACAAGCAGCCGGCGCACGAAACAGCACAAGCTCAGCCAAGACACTTTGGCACACTCATCCGCCTAAACGTGTCTGCAGCAGCTTCCGTGAAGCTCCCCCCAAACCCGAGCCATTCCCGATGCTGCACAGCACCTGTGACAGGCAAGCAGCAAGAACAGAGATGCAAGCGGGCCACTGTAGGAACAAACATGGAGCTACTGTAGCCAGACTACGTATCCGTAACCACCAACGCCTTCGTCAATGCTAGACCCCGGCTGGGAATTTCTGTCCGAGCACAGGACAGGAACCATCAGGTTGCCGTCTTCGTAGATAGAGTGAGTTCCAAAGGTACATGCTTTAAGTGTGCTCAGCAGTGGCACCCGACCCTGGCCTGGAATCACCAAGACGGAGGCCGAATGCGATGCATCCTCGCCATCGGAAGCCAAAGTGCAGGTGCGAACTGTCTGGAGACGCTCGCTCGTTCCCTGGCACAGACTGAACAGCCATCGCACAAGCTGAACACATGCAGAAGACAGGATGAAAGATGCTCTGCAGCCTTCCGGCTCCGAATTGTGCTCACCCTGCGATACTCGGCATGGGAAGATCTGGGCAGACGCATGCTAACGTTATCGCATGCTAACGCTAGCAGAAATGCTGGCTGGACTGCCACTCCAGCAACGGCGTAATCACCCTGGACGTGTCGCTCTACTCTTGAGCTAGTAGGCATACCTGCGAGCGTTGTGACAAACACCACATCAGCACTGCTTGAGCCTTGAGCTGTCGTGGAAAGGATATGCTGGCATGGATGGAACTAAGTGCCAGCTGCAAGCGAAACCCAGGCTAAAGCTTCCATGTCCAACAGCGCTGTGGGCAAAAGGGAGGCACAGCGCAAAAACTTGCCTACGCGGTCATTGATGATCCATGGCAGACCTTGGCTGGCTGCCAAGGCTTTTGATCCATCAGAACAGAAGCATCCGTTGTCCTTGGCGAACCGTTTCGAATCAGGGCGCGGCAGCTGCGGTCCAGGTCGGAGTGTCCGGTCCCCGGAAAGCAATTTCAAGAGTGAGCTTGAGCGGCAGCGGATGGCTTTCTTTGAACATACTTCGCAGATGGTCTTTGAGTCAACCAACTCCTTTGCAAGAGCACGCAGCAACCACAGTAGCCCAGTACGGGGGAGTTGCACATGGGCACCTCCCAGTGGTGTAGTTCGACCTCGTGCTTGTGACGGTTTATCTCCTGGTCGAGGGCCGCAAGCTGGACACCTTGCCTCACCCGACTTTAAAAGTGCCTGAAACAGCCTGTTTGCGGTTCCTCTTGCGTCCGTCGCGTCTCGTACTCGATGACCAGCTGGGAAGCCTGGTATCACATTCCATCCATCTCACTACGGCCTGGCAGCAGCAATCTACTTTGACTTCGAGGCTCTTCCAATCATAGCTAGTCCGGGGCCTGTTCCTCCAGCTTCAGCCGCATCATCCGGGCAGACTGGCAAAACTTCGCACAAAAGCTGGCCAAACTCCAAAACTCTCCCGCAACCGACATCATGTTTTGTCCAGGCTCTGCAATGTTCCACAACTTTGCAAGGCACAAGTTTAAGATTTCAATGGAAGCTTACCTCTTCAAAACTCGAAAATCGATGCTGCCTCGTGAAGCTGGGCGAGGGACTTCTGAAAGTCCTGCTCGGCGGAAATCTCCTCCACAGTTGCACACCCGCATCTCCCCTTCCTAACAAGCAAAACACAACGGGCCCTCCATGAGCTGACCCGGTGCCGATGAAACTTGTTCGGATTCGACACGAGGCTGGATGATGCTCGAACGGAACCGCTTTGAAGCAAGCATACCCATCTGATCGCATTGCAGGGCCAAGGGGGGGCCGGGGCGCAGAGGCAGCTCCAAAAAAGGATGCCAAAAGAATCCCAGCCATCGGTCACTCGGGGAGGGTCCAGAGCAGCGTCTTAGATGAGAGCCGGCGCCGCCAGACACAGCTACCGCGGCCGGTTTCGGAGATGACGTCCAGGACCGCACGCTCACCACGATGTTTAGACAACAGACGCCTCTTGCCGGGCCTCTGCGCCCTCTGCCTCCTTCACAGCTTCTTTCAGCTCGGCGTCCTCGGCCGTGGCTAGTGTCGCTGCCAAGCTAGGCTTGGCAGGCTCGTCGGCTGCCATGCTCTCTTCAGGCTCTACGCAACTGCTCGGATTGCTCGGACTTTCCAGACTGCGACCACACAAACGCTGCAGAACTCGAAGACATTCGCATGTCTCACCAAGGGCACGGCGGGCTCAAGTCAAGCAGACAGCACATATCGGTAGCAAGTGACCCAGAGACATACTTCTGCGGATCTCAATGGAGCAACGGGGCAAACCCTACTTCAGGGCGCCTACGCATCGTGAGTCCAGGCACAGGCATCCGGACGGAATCCCACGGGCCTACACGTAGAATGCTGACATATGCGAGCATTAGAAGTATCACGGGGTCTTCGCATTTCTCTGTTTTGCTCTGCGTTTCTAACCGCGGCTGCAAGTTCAGATGCTTCACACCACCCCGAACTGACCAGAAATCGCAGACACGTCAAGAATTATCTGCAATCAGCATGTACCTCGTGCATGTTGCCTGTCTTTTTTCGGTCCTGTCCTGTGCACGCAAGTGCTGATCCCATCGGCCCGCCAGTACCTTCACAATGCACGACAGACTCGACGAACCGGAAAGAACGCTGATACGAGTCTGATACGAGTGTAGATTCGTGCAGGTTCGTGCAGATGCCAAGTTCTGGTGCCTCTTTGGCCTGCGAAGCCTGTGCCCTGAGGAATTCCTTTTCCCTCTTGGTCTGCTCCTGGACCAGATTTGCTGCCGCTTGCACGAAAAAACGTCGAACACAGTCAAATGTTCTCCTCGAGCAAAAGCTGCGCTTGCTGCAGTTGCTCGTCAACTTCCCTGTAGTTCTGCTCCTGGATTGCTTCAAGAAGGAAACGCGGTCTCGAAAACTCTTCTTCACAAGGCCGGAACCTTCTGAGCATTGACCACGTCAGGTGGCGGCAGATGACGAGTCAAGCTGGCCTAATGTGCTGACAGCATCTGACTGCATATGACTGCTCTGCACAAGGCAAAGGCTTGCACCTGCCTTATCCCGCGAATGACCAAAAGAGACTTGAGCTCACTGAGCTCTGCATGAGCTTCTCTCTTTTCGTTGGGTGTCGGTCGAGGCTTGTGTGATACGGAGCGCTCCGCACCACGTCCCGTGGCTGATTCGTTCTTCTCTTTCTTTTCCACCGTCGAAAAGCAAAGCGTCGAAAGCAAAGCAGACAGTGATTTAGCATCAGCTGTGGTTCAAGTGGCCTGAGAACTTGAGATGAACTCGCACTGCCGCAAAGCAGATGAGAACTGGTGCATGAATTAGGTCCGAAACTCTCTTTAAGAGACTGGACCATACTCGCCAATTTCGCACCCTAAGGGGCTGTAGCAACCGAAACATCCACATACCAACCTGCTGGATGAGTGACGGCCCAGCTTCTTCGCCCAGAGGTTTGTGTTGGGTAATATGCCCTCGAGCACTGATGCTGGATAACTTCGCTTGTGCCCAACAAGGTTGCCGCGGCTGCGTTGGCTAACCTGAACGCCGAGGCTTTAAATTTTGCGAACATGGAGCTCCAGCCAAGTGTCTGCGCTAGACACTTCTCTGGCATGCAAGGAGATGCATGCAACTGCTTGGCTCGGACACATCAGTGCGAAGACATGATGCTCTCCTTCAACCTCACCAGACTCATTGCAGCCACGAGGGGCGTGACGGAAAGGTGGATCAGCGATTCACACACGAGAGAGGACGAGTCTGTGTTTTGCTACTCAGGCCCGATTGCTTACATGCAGAAGTTCAACAATCAGAAATGCGCATCTCAGCATCAGAATGCTGCCCAGCGACTTGCTCGCGGAAAGGCTGAAGTCCTCATCACACCATTCCTGGGGCACACCAATTGCCTCCAAATCCTGGAGCAATGGATTTCGTCCAGGGTCCAATGCCGTGTTCGAGTGAAGCATGCGCGACTGAACAGCAACCATGTGAACAAGATCAGACCATCATCGCATATCATTGCACATATTGCACGTTCCTTCATGTTGCTGCATGGCTACCGGGTCCTTCAGTCCAAGCCTTCGCCGAATCTCATCGACGATCATTCTAGAATCCGTCCTTTAAGTCACATGCACTTGCATCTGCGACAGACAAGCCAGCTACTAGCCACCCTCCGCCCGAGCCCCACTAAATGGTGTCATCAAACCAGCATGCAAAAGGCCAGCAGTCTGCCAGCCGTTGGAACGTGAGAGCATCGGTGCGGTTTCTCTTTTCTAAACTGCACTCTTTCTTTGCATGATGTTCTCTCAAGAAGTAATCATAGACTTAGAGTGATTGTGCATGATGTTCTTACTATCATTCTACTGGGGCAGGCCTGTTTCAGTATCCCGACCTCCTCTTTTCCCCAACACCCTCCCGAAAGCCTCTCCCAACTCTCCCCATCTCTCCCTGCGCCTTGCGAGCCGCTGCAGCGTTGCAGAGTTGACCCTGGAAGCCACGCTCCTCGGGCCTCGGGGCAAGGAGGAGGGCAATGGAAGGGGTGGTGTTCCTCCCCGACGCGGAGATACAGAAGTGCAAGTGAACAGCTTGCAAAGGGCAAACAATGCACCGGTTGGGAACCGGACCTGGTGAGGCCTCACCCTCCTGCCCCATGGATGCACAAATCACCAGAACATGCTCCGGCACATAAAAAATCATGGAGAAACACCGTGGAGTCTCTGGAGTGGCAACATGAAACGCACCAGGCTCCTGTAAGCTGAAGGCTGGTGCTGTGCCCGTCCTGCACGGAGCTAAACCATGACCCCTCTACCGTCACAGCTGACCTAAACTGGCCCCATCGTAACACAGTACTGGGTGCAAGCTTCAGGTGTCTTCGGGCCACAGCTCCAAATCCCTGACGGGGGGTGAGTCCCCTGCAAGCAGGTTTGGCGCACACTCCAAGAGCCCTCGTGTGATGTTGGATGCCTGGCTCTGGACGGGCTCACAGGGCTCATCTGGCTCAAGGGAGTCAGAGGACCCATTGGGGTCATCTGCCTTGACGGGCCAATGCCTCGGCTTCCCTTCCTTCCTTTGTCTTCTGATTGAGTCTCTGCTTCTGGGGGCATACTTCCGTCCTGGTCATTGCTGAGCTGGGGACTTTCCAGCATCAGACCGCACGACCTGATTTCGCACCGCAGGTCATCAGCGAACATATGCCCGTGGGTAGGTGACCCAGCTCCGGGGACTCTTGGGGCGGTGTCGGGGTAGGAAACGAAAGGAGAACGGGAGGGATCCAAGGGCCGACCAAACGATAGCAAAACAAGACCAATCTTCATTCAGTGCGTGTGGGCTTTCTCCTTTCCCGAAACAGCCACGGAATGCTCTAAGAAATACTGGCGGATTCCTGGTCAACTTTGGACGTTTGGAAAGTCTTGTCAGAATGAACGTACGACAGAACACTACCGAAACAACAGGAGCAAGTCACTCATTAAGCAGGTTCTATGGCAAATACATGCCCAGTGATCAGCGGAGACACAGGACGAAAGAAAAAAACACATTTACATTATTTGACTTCGAACATCCCCACCCTCTCTGGGTAGAGATACTCTGGGGTTGGGCACTCCAGGGACACTGAGTTTCCGCCCACAAACACTCTGGGTTTGGGCACTCCAAACTTGGGCACTCCAGGCAGATTCGGGCACTCCAGAGACACTCTGTGGTTGGGCGAGGAGTAGACCGGGCGAGGAGAAGTAGACCGGGCGAGGAGAAGAGTTGAGTTTAGATTCTAACAACCCCACACCGAGGGTGGGGAGAAATGCAATCATTCAATGAAAGACAAGGCAAACACATACTAGTTCCTATTTCATCTATTCGAGAAGCTTGTATCGACGGTTGTTCCTGTATTCCTGTACTAGACTTTCCATGAATTCATGTGGTGCACTAGCTTGTCATGACTTGAACCGTAATGCAGTAGTGAACGTTTCAGTTTTGTCTCATGATCAAGACTCTAACAAGTGAACACGATGTGAATATGCAACCACATTGTAGCTGGTCGAGGGTGCACGGATTGCTATGATAACTTCGATCTGCGTTCATTCCGTCATAGTTGGCTGCTTCACAAGGACAGGAGATGTTTTTACCCGTTGTGCTCGTCCATTTCTTTGTCCAAACAATCTCAGACTAACGAACAAGAACAAAGAGCTCAATCATTGCAGCTTGTTTACCGTGCTTCCCTCAATACATATATCTTTGGGTGAACGGCATTTGTGTTCTTATGGAACCTCCCCATCAAACAGCCTTAACCAAGCAGCTGTCCACCAGAGCCCAACAATCCTCCGTTCGCGGAGGGCTTAAAAAGGCAACAAAACGAAAACGAGCGATCTCACGCGTTCACCCACAGTGTTTGGCGTCGACCGGTGCCCTTCTTTAGGTTGAACGGTGTTTAACTAGCATACAGTCGTCAGGGCTGATGAACAGTTGTTACATAAAACTCAAGCCGACTTGCTACAGCGTTGTTCATTACCCTTCTTCTCGCATACGACTAGCCACAAACCTTCAAAACGCAGATCATCAATTGTGTTTTTTCTTTTTTTCTACCTTCCAGGTTGCATGAAATATTCGTTCGCTTGCGAAATTTGTTCATTCAGATAATCTATTTCTGACGGTGACTGTTTGGTTCCTGGATCTCGTGTTTCATTCCTACAACCTTTCGGGTGTTAACATGACTTCGAACAGCTCCAGGAACAGATTAGAGAAGAAATGGATGTTCCGCTGCCTCTGTGTACATCTGTCTGCTTGCGAGGCTTGCGGAGAGAATTAATTACATGACGCGGTGCGACACAAGAAAACAAGACCATGAACATCTCTCTCGTAGCAGACCTTGCACACGAAATCAGCATTCGCTGTATTCGTGACGGCTCTTAAACGGAAGCACAAGTTGGAAAAGGCGTTTGCTTTGGTGTTCGATATAATGCCGTAGGCTCACAGCCTGCTAAATCTGCATAGAAGACTACTACAAAAGAGAACAATCATCGAAAGCCCTAGTATCGTTTAGATGTTTTAACGGGCTTATGTTTGTTGCATTCGGCCTGCATCTTCCGCTGAGCTTCCAGCGCACTCTGCGCTGGCCCTGACTTGCCCAAGCCTATGGTGACCAAATTCTCGATCCGACCTCCAGCGCACTTGTCGAAGCGGAGTTCAAGCGGCTCTGGCCATCTTGGCTGCTGACCGATTCGCTTGCGGATCTCTTTGCGCTGCTCCAAGAGTTTCTGCCCAGAACGCGCACAATTGACTGTGTTGTGTAAAGGCAAAGGTGAGCAAATGGCACAACGCAGAACGGCGAGAACACAGCAAAGTCCAGAGCCAGATGCCTTCTCTGTGGTGGCAAGGTCAGAGAAGTTCAGCGCAGTCCCTGGCTGAAGCCGGAAGAGCTCGCTTACAATCTCCTCTCGGGCACTCAAAGCTTGGCAGCCTGCGTAACAAACGAAATCGAAACACAATCACGAGCTCGAGGTATCTTTCTCACAACCAAACTCCTCGCCCGTCAGAACCTTGGCCATGTCATCCTTGCCACCCTCGGCCTCCTGATCAGATGCCGCGTAAAGTGGCTACTGCGAACAGTCTGTGAGAAGCCTGTGATCGCAGCGAGAGCTGCTGCAAGATGCAGATCCCATGCCAAACGTTTACTAAGGCTAAACGAAGATAGGATCTTGCCCGGTCTTTCATCAGGTCGAGAAAACATGGAGAGGGAAGCAGGGTGCAGAGCACCAAGGAGTAGCACAGTCTCTCAGATCACAGGACACCACAGAATTTGTGGAACAAGACAGCCCCCTCCCTCCAAACATATACTCAGGACACGGCGTTGGACTCTGGGCTGTTATGTGGCTCAAGGTCTCTCACATCTTTCAATCTTGCGCTGGAGCATGTGGATGCTTGAGGCGCACACTGCGAAACGATTTAGCAACTGCTCCATCGCGGTCAGTGCAACATGACGGAACTGGCTTGTGTGGAGCACTTGCTTCACGCATGAGAACATCTGGAAAGGCACCGAAGGGACTGACACTGCGCACCCGCACTGGTGGCACACACACACACACATATGCTCTTGAAACAGTCCGCAGTCCTTGCTGTCATACAGGAGCTTGGTGATTTGCTGGAAGTGTTTCTGCTTAATGCCAAGCTCCTCCGATCACGAGCCATTGCAGGCACTAGGAGCATACAATGGGAGAGAGAAGGTCCACTGCCTCTGGAATGCTCTGGAAGCTACAGCAATGGATTGAAAGTAAACATGTCCTGCAAATCTTTCAACAGCTTGGGGTCGTTGCTCATTGACCTTGGTCTGTGCGTCGAGCTCAAAACACTCAAGACACTCAAGTTCACAGGAACGTTAGGTCAGCAAGCTCATGTGCGTTTTGGCGGAGTGGCTGCAAAGGTCCATAGGATCGGAGCCGAGCGGCATGAACTTCTCGCGTGTGATGCCTTGAGTCCCAACTCCCAGGTCATTCAGCACCGAAGCCATGGCCTCGCTGGGAAGGTCGCTTATGGTCGCTTCAAGGGGGTCACTGGGGACACAGTGGTCGAAATTGTCGGAAATTTTGGGATCTTGGGAACAGAGAAAGAAGAGAATGGAAAGAGCACGCCCTCAGCATGGACCCCAATCCTCGCGCACGGTGCCGTTCTTCTCCTTGTGTTTCTCACCTGGTGCGAACGCTGCATGGAGCTTCGATTTTGTATTCGGCAAACACATAAAGAACGCGTTCGGTGTCCTCGTTTGCTCTGAGCACAAATGGGCGATGACCAAAACCGTCCATATACTCTACCAACTCCGGCACGCTGAGTACGCAAAAGAGCAGCGAATGAGTAAAAGAGCTGCCGCTCTGGAAACCGTGGCCGAACTGAGCCAGGCAGCAACCTAAAGCCCTGCGAAAATGTCGTGCAGAAGCGGGGAGCAGCTGGTCTCGAGTATGCGTGCAGCAAACTACACATCTCGACCGAGCGTACACCACGCGCGGGAACCTCCCACCACCCAACTACCAGCGTTGCACAATGGTCTAAACCCTGCCGGCCGCAACCTCACAAGAAACAGCAACAGCAACAGCATTGAACAACATGCAACAATAGTATCATCAATTCTCGCTATCAGTAGCCCCTCCACAACGACCATAGCAATCAAGAAAACAACGGCCCAACCGCAATCAACTCATTGCGCTTGTGGATGTCCGTTACTGTCCGCTTGTGGCCTTCAGCTGTGCTTGCCACCACTTCAACGAGAATTCCCAAGAGCATGTTGAGCATCATAAAGGAGGAAATGACAATGAAGACCTGACAGAGGACTTTGGTTTCCATTGAATTTGCGTTGCTTGTCTCTGGCCGACTGACCCACACTAGATCCAAGCTTCCTGCTATGAACACTGCCAGCATGAAGATGTGGCCACCTTGTGCCAAGCATGTCAAGCATGTTATCCACTGCTCATCCACCCAAAGAACAATCACCTTGGCCGCGAGCTTTCACGTATCATGTTACAGCAGTACGTCACGTCATCCAGTAAGGTGCCCATGATGATGAGCGAAAACCTCCGATCTGACGTGACGCAAGCGAGTGTTTACCGAGTCTCACTGAGGGTACTCTAGACGCACCGTCGGACCATCGGACCGAGGCTGCTGAGGCTGCTGAGGCTGCTGAGGCTGCTGAGGCTGCTGAGGCTGCTGAGGCTGCTGAGGCTGCTGAGGCTGCTGAGGCTGCTGAGGCTGCTGAGGCTGCTAAGGCTGCTGAGGCTGCCGCGCGCTTTTGCTCATGTTGCCGAACAGGCTTCCGATCTGCCATGCCAGGGAGCAGGGTCGTTTTGCAACAAAGCCCTTTGCCACTGCAAAGGCTACAAAGCCCCTTTGCCATGCAGCCGAACATGTGAACGTGCACTGATCTGCAGTCCGTTGCCATCATCTGCATGCTGTCGCGCGGTCTTCACTTACAAGCATGACAGCCAGACGCCGTCAGCAACTTCCTGCCAAGCATGTGAGATCTGTGAGCACTAGAGCCTGGACAGGCAAACAAAGCCCTTGTGCCCAAGAATGTTTGGTCGATGCTTACTCGCCACGCAGTTTAGGTGCTTCACGTTTCGTCACGTCCTCATCTGTCTTGGTCCCCTGATGGTAGATGCTTGTGAAGATGATCGACCACACAAAGAGGATCATCATCAACCTGAGGCATAGAAATAGCTCCTGGCAACATGTCTGATTGATGAAGGTTGCAGCAATTTGTTCAGACTGTTCAGAGCTTTGGTCCAACACACACGACGAAAATTTCGTCATCGCAACTTAGGTACTCTGTCGTGCCGTTACACTTGTACAGACGGAAAGCGGTTGACGTTTAAGAATCAAGCGCCAGCCTGGAGCCCCCGTTGCATTCCTTTGCTCTTCATGAACTCAGCCCCTGAGGCCCAGACAGCGCTAGAGTCCAACTCACGGCGCGCACAGCGGCAGCCAAGCCCTGCGGCTTTAGCCATGTGAAAACACGAAAGCCTTTAATTAGTACGTCGTTAGCTATGAGTACACCAGACGACAGGCGAGTATGGTGAATTCCGTGCGTTCCTGCCCAAAAGCCTGCCCTTGCTGAACCCTGCTGAACCCTGCACTGCACACTGCAGGCTGGCGAGCAGGATAAGCTGGTGCGCACCTTTAGAATCAGCATCAGCTCTGGAAAGGTTCGCATGAGCTTGGCCATTCTGCTCACGCGCAGCCTCAACGGCACAGGGGCACAAGCATGCATCTGTTGGCTGATCTAGCTGAGAAAGCAACTCACTTGCTGGAAGCGCAGGCGGATTTGGGACAGATCGGGTGTTGGTGTGGTGTGGTCTATGTTGACATCTTCCATGATTCCGGGTCACCCACAGTCTCAAGAGCCGCAAGGTGCTCAAAATACCAAGTGGGCCTCCTTCACCTGCGACGCACATGACCAACTACTCCCACTCCCACCAAAGAAAACTGTAGAAACGCTGTGCAACACAATTTTTACAGTACTGCAACACAATGATAAAAATGTCAAGGGTTCTCTGGGACTGGAACTTGCAATGAGCGGAAGGATAAACGTCTCGACGTCCATCATGGCAACCTGGCAATGTTGGCCAATTGCCTCCATACCGGTGTTTGCATGGCAGCATGGAAGATCCTGTCTACTACACAAATGCTGTCAAACAAGCCACTGCACCAAAAGGAAGTCGAAAAGGAACCAGAAATCACACAAACACAAACCTCAGCTTGACAGATGCGATGCGGCTGACAGTATCCACAGCTTCGATGCAAACATGCATCCAGGACTGGCACATTTGCGCCTGAAGCCAAGGAAGCGGACAACCAGCTCAAGAGTGAAGAACCTTGACCATCAAGCTGGACTGCCAAAGCACGCGTCTTTCTCAAGACAATCATGCAGATGCTGGGCTTGCGACACTGCAAAGAAAACTTCCGTCACAATAAAGAAGGCAGGACCTTTCCAAGAAGCTTCCGTGGTGGACTCGCAGTTTGACTGCGAGGAGACGTGGGGATGGTCACTCTTTCGCCGCGCGCAAACCACCAGTCACTCGTGCCGTCTAGCGACTGAAGTGTATCGACATGTTGGCCGGCTTTGCGGCTGCTAGCTTCTCCTCACCACTCTTGGACATCATGTTCTGGCCGACATAAAGATGTCGGAGGGATGGACTATGCTGGAGCGCAGACGCAAGAACTTCTGCTCCAGCATCGGCAATCTGATTCTCGTCAACTCCAACTTCCTGACGTTTCTTGGAAAGCACTGGAGGACACTGACAGACACCGACAAGCACTGATGGGCACTGCATTCTGCAAACTCGCAGGCAGAAGAATGCTGTGACAGGCTACGATGGGCACGAGAAAAGCACTACGCTCAGATTGATTGAAAACTTCCAAATGTTTCCAACAAGCTTCGACTAATGTCGGACTGACCTTGATGAGCTCTGCAACGGCCTCTGCTGCAGGGTCGCCGAGTCGACAGTGCCGAAATCCAACCAGCTCCAAACAACCACCTGAGCTCACCATACTTTCAACAAGCTGCATGAATGAAGAAACTTGCCCAATTGCAGTATGAGCCGGAAAGTATTGCGTAGTATGTACAGCCATGCACACCGGTTGACACCGTGGCCAGCATCCACTGCTAGCAGCGGCTAGCACAACTGGCCCGGTCTTCGAGGTATTGCTCTAAGCTGACCGCCTTGTATACTGGACAGCGCTTGGCAGAGATGCTTTGCACCATCGTCCCCAAAGTCATTGTAGCCAATATATAGCTGTCGCAAGGCTGTGTTCTGGCTCAGGTAGGGGGCAATGGCTGCACAGTCTGAATCCGTTATGCCACGGCTTTTCAGAAACAGCACAGCAGAAGACTGCAGATCTTGTGGTGCCAGTCCTGCAAAGCAAGCTGGTAATGTGCCGGCGCCTTCCATGGCACAGGACCTGTGGACTTCACAACTACGTATGTTGTTTAAACATCGAGCAAACCTTCGAGTGACGCGCACTGCGTTTTGAATCAATCTCGTGCTTGAGCCGAAACATGTCGTTGCGTAGACACTGGCACGAATTCCCAGAAGCCCCTGCTTCATTCCTGTACTGATAGCAAGATCAGCGGGCTGAGAACGAAGCCTTCGTAAAGCTTCGCCGGCCTTTCATTTGTGGCAGAGTAGTCTGCATCCTCAGGGTCACGACAAACGGGAAGCAGAGAGGGCGCATGTCCAGTCACACACAGAGCATACAATGAGCCGCTGAGTCTCATGCTATGCCTATACACACCGCGTTCAACAAGATCACCGCCATGGTCGCCCTGACAGCGGCCCAAAGCTTGCAGTCTTTCCTCGTGCTGAACTTTCCCAGCCCAGCCCTAGCGGCCCGAGCGGCCCTAACGGCCCTAGCGCTCTGACGCAGAGGCTCGGGGAAGTACCCTTCAAAGTATCGGTGACTGGCAGCACGGCCAAAAACATTGTCAGCGAACTTCTGTTCCTGCCAGATCAGAACATGATAGAATATGTCACCTGCTTTGCCTGAACATCCTGAGCATATCCAGATATCCAACTTTCGCCACCGTTTCCTTGTTGGACTGCTTCGAGCCGCTGTGCTTCAGACCGTTGACATCCTGCCGCAGCCACCACTTGCGCAAGAAGGCCGTCCAAAGGTGCGAGAACATCGAGAACCATTCCAACGGCTTAAGGTGCAGAAAGCGCAACCGCCCGAGTGCTTCTATTCACGCCTCGAAGATTCCTTTCTGACCCTTGCCGTCAGCACGTTCCTGCCAGGAGCGCTTGTGAACTGCCAGCCCCATGTTGGAGAAGTGCTGCCTGGAAGCTGTGTCTCCATGAGGAGCACATCCTTGCGAAGGCACGGCACCGTGAAGTTGGAGCAGGGCATTTCAAGTCACGATCCAAGTGCTGCGATGTCCTTGAGATCAACGATGGGCATGTAGTCGGCGAGACTTAATAGGCACAGGAGCAACAACAAGGCATCGCTAGCAAGATGCACACGTATGCCCTGTGGCAGGAACGAACATGGGATGACGTTGTCCGGGCGGTCCTGGACCAAATGGATGACGTCGGCATGCAACAAACAAGCGATGATACTCTTCCGCAACATAACTAACGATGAAATGCTACACATTGGCTTTCCATTCTTGACTGCTTTCTTGTGTCCTGTAGTCAGGCTGAGTCTGGGATTTGTTCGCCTCAAACAACAGCACCATCGCAGCTTTGTCAACCGAACCCTGCCACCGTTTGCACTCTCGGTGCCCCACATCGGATGACATTCAGTCCTCAGAGGTCAGGTCCAGCACGCAAGACTTGCGAGATTTGCACAACCCAATGCACGTTCAAGTACTAACTCGCTCCACAAGCACAGCAGCTTCCTTGTATGGCCTACTGGCCTACTGGCCTGCTCATTCAAGCTTCAGCGGCCAAAAAGCAAGGAAACGAATGCATCTGAAAAGGCACCCATATCGTCAAGATCAAACTTAGAAAACAAACGGAAAACCTCAAACGACAAACGAACGAATTTTATCACATTTCCAAAAAATTCTGTTTAGATTCAAATTAGTTAGAGAATTCCAAACCGTAAATCTGGTGGACATAAAATTGGGTTTGATTTTACTTTCGCACAAAGTTGTTGATGCCCAAGCCCAAGATCCCGGCTGTGAGAATGCTCGCAATTGGTCTTGCAGCCTGACCAGGCCAAGAGCTTCACCTCGAAGTTACACAGGCGCCGTGCAACAAAACGAAGGAGCATGTTCTGGGCTGAACATGCTCCCACCGGAATGCGCCGCCTCTGCATCATTTGCATCTGGTGTGCCAGACCGCCTGCGCTCCGTGCATTGGGAACCCGTTATGTAGGCATCAAAAAACCTTCCACATGGCTTCGTATCTTGTTTTCATCCGGACTACTTGCATGCGCACCTCGCACATGACACGTGCAGACCAAACTGCAAAACGAAAGCCCAAAACAGTCCTTTGTGGCTGCCGCAAAAAAATGAAGGCTTGAACCTACTACAGCTGCGATCTCGATGCGGCCACTTATCCAATCATCCATGAGCCACTGGGCAGCAGCTCACGCATGGCTGCGCATCATGTCTACTTGTACACATTCACAAGATGCGAAGCAAACACAACTGGCCTGCAGACATGCAAACAACGCCTTGCTGAAAGTCCGCAAACATGAAATATAGACCACCGTGTCGATTAAGGTACGAACTGGCTGCGAAGGCATCGCTATGCGTTCACTTCCGATAAGTGCCTGCATGGACAGGTTCCTCGAAAACTGCCCTGTGCATGTCAAACCGTTGACAGCAACCATTTGTCACAGTCCGCCTGAGTGCCCACTGGAACCGGCAGCATAGTCCCAGATGGGACTTGTAACGATTGCCGCCATCCCTCGGCATGCATTGGTGATGCCAACAACGGCTTTCACTGTGCCGCTTGGACTGATTGAAACCATTTACTCATTCAATTATTCATTCAATCATGCAACCATGCAACCATGCAACCATTCAACCATTCAACCATGCAACCATTAAACCATGCAACAATGCAACCATGCAACCATTCAACCATTCAAGCATTCAACCATGCAAGCATGCAAGCATGCAAGCATGCAACCATGCAATCATTGAAGCATTCAAGCATTCGACCATGCAAGCATTCAAGCATTCAACCATGCAAGCATTCAACCATGCAAGAATTCAACCATGCAAGCATTCAAGCATTCAAGCATTCAAGCATTCAGCCATTCAGCCATTCAGCCATTCAGCCATTCAGCCACTCAGCCATTCAGCCATTCAGCCATTCAGCCATTCAGCCATTCAGCCATTCAGCCATTCAGCCATTCAGCCACTCAGCCACTCAGTCATTCAGTCATTCAGTCATTCAGTCATTCAGTCATTCAGTCATTCAGTCATTCAGTCATTCAGTCATTCAGTCATTCAGTCATTCAGTGATTCAGTCATTCAGTCATTCAATCATTCAACCATTCAATCATTCAATCATTCACTCGTTGATTCGTTCCATCGTTCCATCGTTCCATCGTTCCATCGTTCCATCGTTCCATCGTTCCATCGTTCCATCGTTCCATCGTTCCAGCGTTCCATCGTTCCATCGTTCCATCGTTCCATCGTTCCATCGTTCCATCGTTCCATCGTTCCATCGTTCCATCGTTCCATCGTCCCATCGTCCAATCATTCAATCATTCGCCTGAGACGAACAAATTCCAAAACGCCGAGTCACAGTAGGTCGATACATGGCATTGGAAGAAAGCTGCAGGGGGGCAGATGACATCTGACACGAGTAATGGCAAATGCCGCTGCCATGTGTTTGTCTGAAAACATGCGTGTTCAAGTCCGCAACATGTACATGATGCTTGCGCAACGTAGCCTGAGACAAATCCACGACTGCCAACGATGTAACCAAAGCTGGAAGGGCCATCAAGTCAACATATATCGTTTGCAAAACGCGCCAAATGAAAGCCGTGCAATTAGAATTCGTTGATTGCCCACTGTATTGTCCACGTGATGGTCCACCCACGTCCTCAACAATGCCTCAAACCTGATTCGAGCAAAACGAATGATCATGAACATGTTAATCCCCCTCCCCTCCCCCAATACCCCCTCCTGTACCCCCCTCCGCTGGCTGAAGGCCCTCAACTCAACAAGCTCCGTTGCCTTCCCACTACTAGTTCTGGGCAAGCCTTAGCAGGACCTCAGCAAGCATTCATTTCACCTGTGCCCTGCAGCCTACAGGCCGTAGAAACACGTGTAGGTCACCGAACTGTACGCACGCCCACATTATATAGTTGCGACTGCTACATAAATAGCAAGCAAGAGCTGTTCCTCATAGACAAGGTGCTGATTCTTCGTGAAGAATGTGCACCGTGTCTCCGTTGCTTCAGCCACGTGCTCTGGTTGACCCTCCCTCAGGAGGACAGTTGGAATGACTTAAGTTTTGAAAGGACTTGTCGTTGATGAACCTTCGTGCTTCATGGGCCTTGGAATCAACGTAGCTGACCGAGTGACATGGGGCAGCTGATTGATGCTACTCAACACACATGTTCCGCCAAAGGCCGAACAGGTTTCTCGGCACGTTTCTCGGCTGAGCTGAAGAAAAGGAGCGCTCGCTCATTCTAGTGTTAACAAGTGGTTGCTTTTGTCATTGCTGGGATACACGTTCAACGAAACCCATGTTTCGAGTAATGGTATTGCTGGCGGATAAGGTGCAAAAACATGTCCTCACGCTTGCATGATGATGCTCTATGCCAAAGAAATTTAGCTAAAGCACACTTAAAAGCCTTGGCCATGACGAGTTTTGCATACTTGGCGCGCGAACCTTGCGTAGCATATGTTTCTTATATAAAGAAGTGCTTTGTAAGGTCAGGGAGCACCTGGCTTTTTAGTTGCTATCCTCAACAAATATGTTTGCTATTTTTCTTTAAAACTTGGACTCATTGCATCAACCGTGCCGCGCCAGTCTGGCTTGGTGATGTAGGAAATGAATTGACTGCAAACAGTCAAAGCTTGACCGTGCAAGAGCTGATCGCTCGACCAAGTTGGAGCCGCTAGCGGGTACGCCTCTGCAGCGGTTCCCAGCGGAGGCGCCTTTGTTCTAAACTGACCGCTGGCGGAGCGGCGAAGCAAGCCGCTACGAGTGCCGTAGTTGTTTTCGAGCTGCCACGGACAGGGGACATGTCACACTGTCATGCCAAGCGGCCTCACTTGAGGTGTCCATTGAGTGCCTAGCGAGCGAAACTGACAGCGAATCGATGATGGGACTCCGACCCGTACGCAGCTACTAATTATGACGTCCTCACACCCCAAAAGAGCGCTTTCTGGGGCAACATCTTCGCTACCTCTTTGGTTTTCGAGCAACCGGGTTCTGCCGGTAATCTCGTCGATGATCAACGCTCCGGAAGGACCGCGGCTACGGGGGGGAACCGGGCCGCCAACACATTCTGGAACAGGCCTTTCATGACGGTGGGGGGCGATTGGCCGCAGGGCGGACGTGGATACGCGGACACTCCGGTTGGGTGCAGCTACGCCCAGGTGGAGCTAGAAAGGGATGCTCTCCCAATGGTTTGGGACAAGGGCTGCGCTATGGTGCAGGACATGGTCCTTTTGAGCAGGTCCGGAAGAAGGCTTGAGAAGTTCGAGGACAGACGTAGCGGAGGGGCTCATGGAGAAGATGTCCCTCCCGCAGTTCCAGGAGCGCTACGGTGAACACTGAGCTACTGCCTACCAACAAGCGGAGGGTCGTGTTCCGCCTTTGACGGAACATGTGCGATGTGCCGCGTCGTTCGCAACTGGCCTTGAAGCATGGGCTACGATTGAACGCAGGCACTGGCCCCTTAACAGCTGCATGAAGGACTCAGCTATCGATGACAACTTTGTCTGTAACTGCTGAAGGAAGCTATGCCACCACAAACCCAAGAACGTCGAAAAACAGCCTCACGCTACAGGATGCGCGGGGGGTCCAGTGCGGCACGAAGCGGAGGAAGGTGCTGTTGCTAAGATCTCTGACACGGCCTACGCATGAAAAGCTTCGCCTTTGCCTCACCGAGCTACAGAGTGCACTCCTCATGATCGAACTAAAACATCCGTTCAGAATCATTTTTAATGGCGAGCTCCTTTCTACGTCAGCAGATCAGTGAGCAGTCTTTGATTTCGGTGCGAAAGCATACGTTCAAGGACGGGCGTGGCTACGTTCAACAAATACTACCCTTACTACCCCTGCGAACGCTGGATCCTTTAAACAAAAAGCAGCACGCGGTATCTTTTTTGATGTTTTCTACGACAAACGACAGCATATCTGCAATCAATTATGATCCAAAGGTTTATGTGACATCCTACAATCTATAGGTTCGTCACTTCCACGCTGTGAACCCCGTATTGGTTCTGGATGCAAGCACAACAAGGTGTGGGGGGAGGGAAGTTTAATTTGGGTTGAACCTGGGTTTCAACCTCCCTCTGGCGGACCTGGGCGCTTCAAAGCCAAAGTCTTCGAAGCCTTTTCAGCCCCCCTCCTCCACCGCCCCGCCTTCGATCCTTCAGCTTCGAAGGCTTCGAAGCCCCTTTGTTGAAGGAATTGCGCACGGGCCGCTGGGGTTTTCCGGCAAGTGTGGAGGTCTGTTCTGCGGGACCTGATTCGTGGCTTTTTTGGGCTCAGAAATGGGCCCGGAAAAAAATTTTTTGAACTCCCACGTCCGTGAATTGAAACTGCTTGAAACAAGAGTTTTTGAAAGTCTTTGACCATGCCGTTTAGACAGAAATCA